CTGGTGATCCCAATTACAAGTCTCCAAAAAGCCAGGATGTTTGCACGGCCATTGTCAAGGCTGGAGGGAACCCAGAAGTTGTCCAGTGGGCATACAACGAGCAGGGTTTTCCATTGGACTGCAAAGACAAGTTGCGACATGCTGCTGGAGGTGGACATTTGGATTTGTTGAAATGGGCCCACAAAAAAGAGCTTCCCTGGGATGAAAAAGCATGCTGTGCTGCTGCCAAAAATGGTTATTTGGAGACTCTCATTTGGCTCCGTCAACATGGTTGTCCATGGGATCAAGGCACATGCCACATGGCTGCTCAGAGTGGCCATTTTCAGGTTGTGAATTGGGCCCATGAGCATGGATGCCCTTGGGATGCCAAGACATGTTGGCTTGCTGTTGTCAGTGGTCATTTTGAGATTCTGAAGTGGGCACGCACCAAAGGATGTCCCTGGGATTGGCGGACCGCAGATGCTATTGCCAAAAAGGGTTGTTTGGAAACACTAAAATGGGCACATGAGAATGGATGCCCATGGACTGCTGCCACTTGCACTGCTGCTGCAGTTGGAGGCCATTTTTGAAATGCTGAAATGGGCCCGTGAAAATGAATGTCCTTGGACAGCTGCAACCAGTTCTGGTGCTGCAAAAGGAGGTCATTTCGAAATTCTCAAGTGGGCCTTTATGAGAATGGATGCCCTTTGGATGCAACGACTTGTCAATATGCTGCTAAATTTGGTCATTTGGAAATACTGAAATGGGCTCGGTGAACAGGGATGCCCATGGAATTCTTCCGCATGCCATGCTGCTGCAGAACAAGGTCATCTTGAAGTACTTATATGGGCTCATGACCATGGATGCCCTTGGGATCCCGAGACTTGTGAAGCAGCAACTGAAGATGGCCACTTTGCTATTCTCCAGTGGCTTCATGGAAATGGGTGCCCTTGGGACATCATGACATCTCAAGCTGCTGCAAATGGTGGCCATTTTGAAATCTTAAAGTGGGCTCAGTTGGAACATGGACGCCCATGGGATGCAAGGACAGTGCCAAGCTGCCTGCAAGGAAATTGGTCATTTGGAAAATCCTGAAATGGGCTCATGAGAATGGATGCCCTTGGGATGAAAGGACATGTGAAGCTGCTGCAAAAGGTGATCAATTTGACATCCTGAAATGGGCACATGAAAAAGGCTGCCCATGGGATTCAAAGACATGCTCTGCTGCTGCTAGACTTGGTCATTACATAGTACTAAAATGGGCCCGTGCCAATGGGTGCCAAGTAAAGGTACAAAGAAATCTTGCACCTCATTGGTTTGACGGAAGCTTCAGAATCATGGGACTAAATCCCTCCCGCCAGCCAACACAGATTATCGGTACCAGGTACGGGCTTTCAATGTTGGTACATTATGCCTGCTTCTACCAGTACCAGTACCGGTAGCCTACTTGTTGTCATTTAAGTTGTTTTAGTTTGTTTTAGTTTGTTATCCTACTATTTTATTTCTACCTTCTTCCTTCTTCGTGCTATTCTTTCTGTTTCTACTAGGTTTTCCGGGCCAGCTAGAGCTCCTTGTCCGTGTCAGCGTCCTTCTCCGCCTTGTGGTCATCTCCGTCATCGGAAGTATCCTTGGCGACAACTTCTTCCGCAGAATCGAGATCCACGACCTCGTCACCATCCTCTACGGCAGCGGAAGTCTCAACTTTCGCCTCGTCGTGTTCCTCTACGGCAGCGGGAGCCTCGACTCCGACCTCTTCTTGTTCTTCCGATGTGGCCGAGAGCTGTGGGGCTTCAAATTTGGGGGGAGCCGAAGGCGAAATGGGAATGCTCTTGATGTTCTCCTCCAACCTCTTCATGTCCTTGGGAGCAGTAACGGTAAGCACTCCGTCCATGAGATTCGCTGACATGTTGTCCACATCAATCATGGGATCGAGAGAAAAGCTTTGGCTGAATTTGGATGTGAACGAACTCTCATCCGTGCGGGCACGACGACGGCCTCGAATGGTCAAGACCTTGCCACCATCTTCGACGCTCACGTCGCAATCTTCAATCTTCACACCGGGGAGGTCCATGGAGATTCGCAATTGCTCGTTGTTGTTGGCGATTTCATATTGCGGGGACAGTTGACGGAAGGTATCGTCGAATTGCTTGAAGCTGTCGTCAAAGCTTCGTGTCAGGGCCCGTTGACGTTTCCTCATGGGAGCCAAGGTAGAGAACGACGGCTCAAAGAACGTGGTTGGACCCCACAAGCTGTAGCCTTCGACGGAGGTGTACATGGAGGCGACAGCAGCGAGAACTGGAGCAGAAAACTTCATGGTTGATGAATTGATGGTTGCAGCGGTGGTTGCTTGTTTTGGTGTTTGTGTTTGCAAGAACAGTTTGTTCAATTTATGAGCTCTGGAATAGCAGCTTCGCTTTGGGGTGCTTTAGCCCTTCCGCATTCTTCTGGAGGTTTCTGTGCTCGCAGGTTTGGTCTCCCATCTACTGCTTCGTGTCGAAAGCAACGCCTGAAGTCTCTACGTGTTTCTTTCTCGAAGACTCTGTGAGAGTGGGAATGCAGTGAACTCGAACTCCAGGCCCAATGAGAGAGCTCCAATTGGCAGAAATCAATCCCACATCAAATCACAGTTGGGATGGGAGTCGAGTCAGTCCGATCCAGCCAAGTACATGATGTAACCAAAGCTATGATGGGCAATGTTTGTGATTGCGTCAACTCGTCGACTCCAGATACAACTTGTGGAAGTTAGGGATTGATTTCAATCCGCCTCCTTCTGTCACTTCCCTGATACAAATCAGATGCAGTTGCACAAAGAAGAATGCAGAACTGTTGACGAGCAACGAATCCGACGCGGCTGAATTTGACCTGTTATGACGGTGCAGCAGGACGGGCCTTCGCCTAACCTAACCCTGGTACATGTACCATCGACTCGCTCACTGCAGAACCAATGCCCAAGTCCAACCCCGTCCAGCAGGGCCAGGAACACCAGACCCCCACCTGTAGCGGTAACTATACGCTGCGCTGCAATTTGGCAATTTGTCTTGAGATATGCGCTGCGCTGCAATTTGGCAACGACTAAAATTGCCGATGGTTTTATTCCCTGTCACAAACGAAACGTAGGTGTATTCTATCTTATAGATTATTTTATGACATTGCTTGTCTGTGCCTGTAACATCACATTCGTATAGAAAAAAGCTGTGTAGATTGGATTCACGAATCCATGGCATGGAGGAGCACGAAGGATCAAGTGATGTGCCGAAGCCATGGTGCAAATCCACAGAAAAGCTTGGGCGTTTGAACTGATGCATGAGCCACTGAAACAGGGACCTTTTGGAAGAGTTGCTTGTGAATGTCACCACCGTTCCAAAAGTAAGTCCTTACAGATGTCCCCTGGTGGTGGCCACAGTTTGGTCAAGTAGCACGTATCTGTTGAATGGGAAAAAGAAGAGATTGAAGTAGGTGACAAGCCACCCCTTTCCAATGGCAATACTGTGCCCAAGGGTACGCTCATGTGCAAGGCTCCCTCTCCTGGTCTTGGGAGTACCGTTACCGACAGGTCCCGGAATGGGCCAGGTGGCAGCCAGGATTGGGGCTTCTGAGGTGGGAGTACTGCTCATCCAGGCATTGGTCCAGGAGTTCATCTGGGTGTGGTGCCTGACATGGACCTGGTGTTGGACCGGCCGAAAGGAAGGTGTTTGTAGCCAGATGAGATGATACTGGTACCATCTGCTTTCCCGTTTGCCGACTTTTGGATGGAGTTTAGCGCTAACCTTAATAATCCATCACATAAAATCGTATGATCCAAAAAAAATCCAAGGGACAACAACATCACCACAAACCATCACTTCTGCCTTCTCAACCATCCGACGATGAATCTATGTGTTGTTGCGTTTGTTTGGTTCCTCCCATGGACTGCCTCGTTCACACTGTTGACGCCTGACACGGCTACAAGACGCCATGCGCCTTTGTTGACATTTTACAATGATTTTGAAGACTTTTCATCTGTGGGAGATGACGATAGTGACGATTCGACAAAGGATCTGTATGCGTCCCTTCGGCAACGGCAGACGGTCCTGGATGCTTCTAGAAAAGATACAGTCAGTGCCTGGAAGTCTGCTCCTACGGCCATTGAAGCGATTCCTATTGCAGATGATTGGATACGGAGAGTTGCCTTGGATACAACGACGACACGTTCCGCGTCTAGCAGTAGCATCAACACGGTGGTGGCTGGAGGAGCCAGTGGATCCTTGTATTTGCTGGACTTGACAACGGGCGAACTTTTGGGAAAGTCACTGATGGTTCACGAGTCGCGAGGAGACGATGACGACCAGCAAGTACTCTCGAGTCTCTATGGCAACTATGACGGCGGTGGCGTCGTGGCGATTGCTCGCTGTGGAAATTTGGTGGCCAGTGCGGGACGTGAGGGTGGCGTCCACGTATCCTACGTTATTGCCGATTCTTCGTCGGATGTATTTACTACTACAGACGACAATCGCCTGGTTACATTGGGGAAAATTTCGGGGCTGTCCTCTTTTTGTACCAGCTTGGTATTTGACTCGGTCAATCGAGTCCTCTGGGTGGGGAGTTTCCACGAAAAGAAAATACGAGGATACCAAGTGACAAAAGAGATGATGATGGATACACCCAAAGCATCCCTTAGTGGGGCTGTCGATGTCGAAAACGCAAAGGTCCACTTGCCATTACTACATGAAATTCAAGTGCCATCAGGAGTGCTGAGCATTTCGGTACAACCAGAGATTGGCTGTGGAGTGGCAGCTACAAGCGACAGTGGCGGGATCGTCCTCTTTTCCTTGCAAAATGCCACTTCCTTGGCCACTTGGAATCCGTTTGCTGCTGGAAGCGACGAATCGGCACGATCGGCAGTCTTGGTGCAAAACGATGAAGCACCCCGACCTTCGTGGTCCGTCGTCGTGGGAGGAACCAAGGGAAGCATCCATCAACGAGAGATTAGCATTGACCCTGCCACCAATAGCATTTCCAGAGCCGAGCCGTGGAATCCGTTGCGGCCGCCACACCAAGTGGCAGAGGGCCTGAGGCATGACGGACCGGTTGTCTGTCTGGCATCTCCAGGACCACAAGTCTTTTTATCGGGAGCGCAAGATGGGACCATTTGTGTCTGGAATTGTTCTTACAAAATGAAGTCTATGGAGGAGGAAGGTGATGACTCGTCCACTTTCAGCAAACCGACTCCATTGTTTGCTCTAGGAGGATACAAGGTTTGGCTGGGGTCTCTGGTCATTCTCGACGACAACCTATTGATAACGGATGGGGCGGACAACGTTGTCATGAAACATACCTTCAACAAGCAAGGTGGGGCACCTTGATTTTGCACTGTGAGTGAGCAACCGCCACGCTGAAGAAGCGATGCAACGTTTGTACTAGCTATTCAAAACAACCCAATCACCGTGCTAAGTAGCCAGGCTAAGCTCATACAGTACTCTCCTTTTTTGCTGCTTGCAAGGATTGGTAGGAGCAAGTTATTCGCAACAAGCAGGCAACTGGGATTGACATGCATTCTACTGTACTACGAGGTAGCTGAGCGACTACTGGTACTTGCACCGAAAGTACAACGCTTTTTTCTGGAAGCCCATTGAAAGGACTTCCTTGGTCCCAATGTCCCAGTTGCTCTGAAAGGCAACGAGGCTTCACTTGGTAACTCGTTGGGATGCAGAGAAGGTAAAGTCAAGTACCAGGAAGGTTCCGAGGCCACTCCTAGCTAGTCTAGAGTAGGCATATTGCTACCAGGTAGCCACCTCCCATCTTAAGACTTCACTGGACTTCTACTAGCTAGCTAGACCCAATAGACAACTGTGTTAGGTTGCTTGCTGCTTGCTCCTCCCTCGTGTGCCGTATCGGACGGCTTTTCATCCTGTGGCTCGTAAATGCTTTCTGGGTGGCCAGATGAAGCGTGCTGTCCTCGGATTGGCCCATGGCCCCCCAAGCAGAGGCCACAAGCTACAACAGCTGCCACAACCCACATCATCAGCTCATCATCACTGTAGATCTGCTCAGTTGCGAGGCGCAAGTGGGTCTAAAACGGCTCCTCCTGAACCAAATCTCGCTACCGTACTGCGCCAGCATACTGTACCTGGTACCAGTACATCTCCTGTCATCTTGCTCGTTCCCTTGCCACATGCCATTGAAATGCGATGGTCAAACTCAAAAACAGTGCCGCAAAAATCGATGGTGGGGTTTGAAAGGTGTTTGTGACGGTCATGGCACTTCTTTTTCGCGGCATCGCAATAGTCATTCTAAATCTAAAATGCCAGTGTGCCTCAACCTTGTTAAAGGGTCTATCCCCAAGGCAAAGAAAGCCGTCCAAGGTGAAACACCGTGTTAATTCTGCCTTTCCCTTCCCTTTCTCAATTCGCGTGTCAGCATAAGTCTGATGTCAATGGTCACTCAATCCGTTTCCCCTTTTGGCCTTGAAATCCACCGCACTCTTCTCTCCGGAACCTTTTACACCAGCTCGGCACACATCTCACAATCTCATTGTACCACCACAAGCACTCGTTCTCTCTTGAAAATAGCACAATGAAAACGATCTCCAACAACAACAACGCCGCAATGAAACGAGTTTGCTTCCACAGCGACGATACCTTGAGGGATGTCTCTCCTCACCATTGGATCATGTCCGAGTCAGAGCAGGCGTCCATGTTTTACACCATGGACGAGATGAGGGGTTTCCGTCTCGATGCCAGGGCCATTCGGCGCAATCCATCTAGCTTGGATGAATCCACCGACTGCTGGCGCGGTCTGGAACCCTACGTGAGCCGAAAGAGAGAACTGCGAGCGACTCGACGGAACTATATTTTTGCCGTCTTGCACCGTCAGTGCGAAAATCGAAGGATGATGATAAAGCAGAACCAACAACAACAACAACTGCAAGAGCTATCTCCCGATGACTTTGACTTTGCCCATGATTTATCCATGGTGGCAAGAGAACAGAGCAAAGAGTCTGTCCAACGAGCATTGGTCTCTGCCATTCGAGACTTTGTCGACTCGCTGCAATTAATGCCACAGCCATTAGTAGTGGCAAGAGGAAGAGATCATCGCAATCAGCATGCCAAGAACGTGACACCACCATCGTACTATGACAACGTGATGGGCAACACTGGACTGCCCAAACCACCAAGAGAAATCGCCACGGCTAGGTCCGCATAGCGTGTTCTCGCGGCTGCTATTTGAATTAAGCTAATCCTCCGCTTGTAAAATATTACTAATCATCAACATCCGGCTGGAAAATTCCTCTAGCAATAGTTGGCTAGCTAGCTCTCCTTCTATCCCGGTCGGTACGAACCACTGCCAGCGGGTAGAATGTACATGCGTAGAACCCATGTTGGAGATGGCAACGAGTGCCATCTTCTGTATTACATAACCTTCTAAAGACAAGTGTGTTGTTCTTTTCATACTAAGCCCGGTCCCACCAGTTTCTAGCTATGAAGGTTGTCTTCCTGGCCACTTCATCCAGTATCCCTGAACTGCAATGACATAGTCGACTTGGCCCCATCAGCCACCGAAGCTGCGGTACGCCTGGCCCAAGATGGGACGCACTATCTACAGCCCAAACACAGAATGGCACACCTTGCAAGGCCAATTTCCTACTATACTATAGACCACCAACACCTGGCGTCTAACCCTTGCACCAACATCAGCTCCTCTGTTCTACTACATACGTGCCCTGATGACTCGACTCTGATGTGCTAACGATCTCATGACAACTTCTTTCTGCCCAAGCCGTCTCCAAGCTTGCTAGAGATGCTCCGTTGCTACTGTATCTAAAACCCAAGGGTTGATGACCTTTCGAGTGCAAAAATTGGAATCCTTTTCAAACAAAATCTGCTTGTCATAAGACCCCCACTCTGACCACTGAGTTACACGAGCTAGGAATGCTCGAGACGGGGTTCGAACCCGCGACCAAGGGCTGACTTAGCATGCCAGTTGACCGGCAAAATTTGTGGTATTTATACCTCATCTCAAAGGAATAATCAAAGCCTCAGCACTACAACAGCATCGGTTATCGGTTCATTCATCGCCATCCTCCTTCCTTCCGTACCGACCAGCAGGATCAGACCTCACAAGCACCATGGTAAGTCCAAACCGGGTGTTGTCGGCCTCTCTCTACTCTCTTGGTTGGTTCGGGTACCGTCATCTGTGGTGTAAACTTAGTTTGTTCCTGACATGTGTCTCTCTTGTCGTTGCCTCCTTGTTTCGTGGATTGCTACCGCCGTCAGATCTTCCTCAGCTTTTTCAAGACGTTGGTGGGGAAAGAGATTGCAGTGGAACTCAAGAATGACGTTGTGTTCACAGGAACATTACACAGCGTCGACCAATATCTCAATGTCAAGCTGTTGAATGTTCAAGTGATCAACCCGGACAAATACCCTCAGTTGGTGGCACTTCAAAATTGCTTCATTCGAGGCAGCGTGGTCCGCTACATCCAAATACCTCCTGAACACGTCGACACGGAGCTGTTAGAAGATGCGGCCCGGAGAGAAAATGCCCCCGCTTCAACCAAAAAATAAATGTAGCACTCTACTAGCTAGCCAGTTAGTGGAAACAGAACACACATACACGAAGAAAGGGGTCCATGGTGGGTTTCAGACAGATATCACACTGTACGAGGTGGGCTTGTGGCAATTTGGTTTGCATTCTGTACGAGCATAATCTTTGTCATTTCTCAAATCATTTCATTAAAACTAGTCAAAAGCTTGCTTCTATTCAATTTGTTTGCTTATTAGTGTTGCCTTCTTGCAGGTAGGACACAACACCTATTGTAGACACTCATAGGTTGTTGCAGCCCTAAGGCCATCCCGCCCTCCAACTCCCAACTCTGGCACCTCAGATGTACAGCGTATCCTCAAGCAGTAAACGCCCTCCCTCCCTCCAACTCTCAACTCTGGCACCCCCAGATGCACCCTCGCAGTAACGAAGATAGCAAGCGGAGAATGCGTGGCCTGCAATTGGCTGGTGGTTGACACCATCTCCCAAAAATACCGTTACCCATCGAACCACAAGATTGGGAGGGGGGAATCATATCACAGACAGGTGTTCCCAACCTGTAGAACCGATAACTACAAACCACTCTTTTGTTCTAGTCAATTTATAAATATAATAGTAGAAAATTCTTCTGTGCCCTCTACGAGGCTGCTGCCGGAAGGAACATTTTTGTGCCTTTGCCATCCAGAACAAGGCCAACAACCACGACCTTCCATGCAACACGGCGGGACAGCGCTGAGCTAGCTAGTTGACGTTCCACCGGCTGCACTCAAGTTCGAATTCAAAACCTCCACAGTCAGCACCCAAAATTTGGTGCCCACGTGAAGGCCGTAGGGATTTGCGTCTGTCCCGACTTCCCCAGCAATAAGCTCTTCCTGGTAGACAATGCGCCCCAACACGAAGTCAGGACTTCCAGGAATGTTGTCTGTGCTCAAATATCGATGAGGGCAGTTCGTATGAAAGGCAAGGTATGTTCTCTTGCCACCGGAACCACGTCCGGTTGGCATGAACAGGCCAACGTCTCCCACAGAGAAGCTGGAATGACTAATTCTGTCATCATTTTCGCGATGTATTGCACGAGATGTTCTCGCTGCTTCCTTCTTTTCCAGTGCATCCACCTTTTTCTCAGCAGCCTCGGCAGCAGCCTTGGTTTCTGATAGCTCCTTCTTCAGAGCGGCGACAGCAGCCAGGTCCACATCAGACGGTGCACTCACCGGTGGTGCTGCAGCAGCAGCTTCGTCCAGGTATGCCCTGGGCGGTTTCCCGCCAAGTCTTTCCAGTGCTTGTCTCAGAACCGCATTCTCATATGCCAACGTCTTTCGTTCTGCGTCTTCTGCTGCACGGCGGCTTGTGTCCCCCTCACCGTCACCCAAAATGAGGTCGTTCCCATCATCAGCGCTCACAATCAGTTGTTCTGGCTGTTGTTGATCATGCGGTTGCTGCTCTGCCGTGCGACCCGCTGTGCTTGCGACGTTCTTGGACGAGTCTTCCGCCATTTTAGCGTCCTCGGTTGTCGCGCTGTATCGTCTCGCAGGCGCAGCGCTCTCAGCAGTTAAGGTTGACGCACTCGTGCTTACGACGCCCTGCTCTCCCGCAGTGGACACAGGGATCATTGTGGCGTCACTTTGGTCATGACTCTCCGGCGGGCCAACATCTGGCATCGTGTCCAGTTCCACCATGGCTGGCAGTTGGGGTGTGAACAACGGGGGTGGCGTTGCCAGAGTCGGAACAAACATTTCAAAGAATGGCGGCATCAGATGTCTGCCAGGTCCACGCAGAAACTTTTCTCGAGCTTTTACTTCATCTGCCCGCATGGATGCCAGTCGCTCCATCATGGCTGTACTGGAGGACATGACAGCCTGTCCATACGCGCGTCGTCGTCTGATTTCGCTCAAAAATTGTTTGTAACTATCTGCCAGCTGCTCAACATGTTCCAGATGGACCATGTTCTCAGATTGTGTTTGCAATGCATCCTTCAGAACCGCCACGCTGCTGAGTACGCGTTGGATCGACGATTGTGCTATGGACACTTCTCGGAGACGTTGCTGCATGTACTTCATGGCCCGATTTTTGCTCGCAGCCACGGTTTCCATGAAATGTGCCAACTTTCCGTCGTCTTGGATCATGTTAGGGACGATATCTTTGCTGGCGTGTGACATCTCTTGCAACGGGCCAAATGCGTTCTGGACGTTGGAAGGATCCGAGACAACTGTTGCGTTGGTTTGTGGCGATAATGGTGCTGGTTGTTGTTGTTGTTGCTGTGTCCATGGATCCAATTGCTGTTGTTGGTCGTTATTATTTCCCACAGCACGAAGAATAATGTCTACCACAGCCCGGTGATCTTGCGTCAATCGCTCCAACCGCTCTGCTTGTCGGTCTCGGATCTGTTTTACCTCTCCAGATGTCAGCTGTGCCCACGCAGTCTGAATTTCATGTTCTGCCGCCAGGTCTTTTCTTGCTTCTTCGTCTCTTTGTGCAGGTGTCCCCAGACTCGCAAACGTTGCGTCAAGATCTGCAAATAGCGTCAGGAGTCGTTGATGGGATGTCTGGCACTGTGCCGCCCAAGCCCTTTCTGGTTCGACGGGTACAGTGTCTAACAGTGTTTCCATGACGCGTCCAGAAGACCGGGCCATTCGTACCAACGCCGGATGCAGAGGAATTGCCTGCAAGTTGGAGAGGATGGATTCAAACCGCTGTAGGAGACTGGCATGCTTGGCAGTAGCATGCTGGAATGTGTTGGTGAACTGTGACCGTGTCCTGGCGGCACCATTGTAGTGATCCGATAGATTGGAAACAGCAGCACGGAGTGCCCGTGCCATGATAGCTTGTTCCTGAACGCACTGACGACATGCTCGAAGACGCATATCCGCTCCATCCGCCAGCACACGACCTTGTCCGAGAGAAAGCATAAACTGTCGCTCATAGGCGGCCAGGGCTTGATGGAGTGGAGGCATCGAGTTTGGAGAAGATGATGCAGATTGCCCTGCGGAGAAGGACATTTCCAGAGGCGACTGCCCTGGCGCCTGACTGGGAAGTTGGAGTGTCTTTGGTTGCAGAGAACAAAGTGGAGGATCAGGAGCCGTCTGTGACAGAGCTTGTTTTGAGAATAGGAAAAGGCGCCGAGCTCCGGATCTTTCTGTGGTGGATAAAATGGTGTTATGAATGGGAGTGATTGGACCCGAGGATGTTGACGCCTGGGTTCCCTGGCTGATTGCCTTTGCTGATTCTGCAGCTGCAGCTAGGGGATCATCTTCCAGATCTCCTACTCTTAGGGATTGTAGAACCTCTTCTGATTGCAAAGTAGAGTCTTTTGGAACTTTATAGGGTGGCCCCAGCAATAGAATTTGATCAGATGGGGGGACAGCAGCGGCTAGATGTGACTGGATATTTGCAACGCTGGGAAGAGTGGGAAAAGAGGAGGCAAATGTCAGTCAGGAGACTACTAGATCGGATCGGACCAAACAGACTCGACTCGAACCCAAGCAAAGCAGACATCAGAAGAGGCACAGACAACAAGGGCCCTAGCTAGAGACGGAGTGAAGTGACAACCAAAATTTCGGCCTTGGCTGGGTTCTCCGACGCATGACTGACACCAGCGTTGGAATCGAATCTGGAATGATGATACATTAATCCGCACTGCAACTGTATCTTCTTGTTGCATTGACTGATTCCATTCCTTTGACAACGTCGATTCTCATGGTCGTCGGATCCTTCTCTCTTAACGGTGTCAAGTCCATTCGACCAGGTCGTGCTTCCGCTGTGAATCTCGGGTAGATTAGGCAGTCCAAGATTCCAGACGCATGCGGAAAGAAAGGCTCCGCCTGTTGATCCTCCTCGCCTCCGCCCCGTTGGACCACGCTCCGCTTGTCATGGTCAATGGTCGAAAAATTCGCAGAACACGCACACAGACGCACGACAAACGAAATTCGTTCTGTTGCGGAAAAAGAACAAAAACAAACCCATCAACAATGACCATCATGGCTGATACTCACGTTAGGTCACTCAGAGGTAGGGAGATTTTGTACGTGACTCCGGTAGCGGCGACAAGGATCCGTACAGACCGTATCAACTGGGTGTTCTGTGTCGCCATGGTGATGGTTTGATGACGGATTGCTGGGATTGACGCAAGATACAGGATGATGTCAAAAACAAGCAAGCAATACTACTTCTCTCTCTCCCCCGTTGCCGAATTACATTCTGGGTACAGGAGGCAGGCCAGCATAGAAAATGCAAATAGACTAATAAGAGGATCCAGAGCGGGTTTGGTAGATATGGTGGTTGATTCGATTCAAGTCTATGGGTAGATGGGAACAGGCAGGACAGCAACAACAGCGCTGTAACTCGGAGAGAGAGAGTGAGAACAGCGAACTCGACAGTTCCTGGAAAAAGTCAAGATGGAGTGTCACTGTGAAGAAGGAATACGACCCGCACAGGTAAGCTAGGTAAATAAAAGAATAAAATATTTATTATAATACCCTTATCTACCTGAAAGTAGGAAAGAACTGACCAATCAGGAAGCAGGAATTATGCCCAAAATGAGTTGCCCTCTGACGTTCTGCTCATGATCCATCAAGAACACGTGACTAAAATAGATTCCTCTGTGCCGAATGCTCATCTGCGGTATCGGTATTGTAGTAGGCAGGCCTCTCTAGCTGGTTGGCTAGCTAGCTATTGCTCCTAGAGGAGATGGTCTGCTACCTAGCTAGCGTTCCAATCACACAGTCAAGCTGAAACGTAACCCAGCACGGGAAGCGCCACTTCCTACTCTGACTTGGTGGAGCCTGGAGTTGAGAAGGGGTTTGCTGGGGAGGAACAATGACAGGTGGCAATTCCGACAGGGCTGCTCAGGCGCTTGGATCTGACCCAAAATGACCTAACTAATGAGTCAATCTCCAAGTCAGGTGGAGAGAATTGCCTTGCTGATACTTTTCCAAAGCGGCGGGAAATCTCCATCTTCTAGCTAGCTAGCTCCTAGAATCAGCAACTCCCTCTATCTATCTTTTGATTACCAACCATCAACTATCAATCACCGGATGCTTGCACTTTGTCAGCCTCCATTCTCAAGGCCATTCGTGTTGCTTCATCAATGTTGGCCGGCAGAATTTGACGTAGGGGTCTCGTAGGCCCTTGGATTGCAAATGTAAAGTAAAACTGATTCGATAGCTTGGCATCTGCTAGCTCAGGTTCCGTGACGAATGTCTCCACTTCCAAATGCACCATTGGATAATCGCCGTCGGTAGCACCATCATTGCTACTCGTGTAGAGAACACGACTGTTAAAGACGAGCAAATCTCCCACATCCACGGGTGCCGCAAAGGAAATCTCGTCTACTTCTCGAAACACGGGTCGGGCTCCTCCAAAGACGTATGCATTGGCGAATGCCAATTCAAAGGCACGTCGCATCAAGAATCCACCAAAGATTCGATTGTGTAGATTGCGCGATTGTGGTTGAGCCATCAAGGCATTTTGCATGGACGTGGCCGCCATGGTAATGTCCGCCCCTCCCGATGCCAGACTGGGCATGTTCAGTAGCACTGGTCGGGCCTGACGCAACAAGGCTTCGGCATGAGGTGGAATTTGATGAGCACCTTCCTTTTCTTGCTTTCTTCGCTGTTTCTTGAGTGCTGCTCTCTGGGCACCCGCATCGAAATCTGCCTGCTCTTGTGGGGATTGAGGCTTGAGGGGGGTAATGAGCATGGGTTTCTTGGTCGTTGGATCCAGTGTGACAAAGGTAAAGAAGGCTTCCAACCAAGGATCCGTATCCTCGGCACTGGTGCAATGCATCCGAATCTCCATACTGGATGTACCCACGTAGGTGACTCTGCCACTCAACACCTGATCGCAAGGCATCGTAGGTGACTCCTTTCGAAGACGAATTCTGTCCACTGATGCCGTGACAATCAGAGGGTGTTCGACAGCATTGTCTTCATTTCTTACGTGATAAAAGGCAATGTTACCTGCCAAAGCATCTAAATCCTCTAGTATTTTTCCAATTCTCATGGAATTCCAGGGGCTGCACCGGTAGGCCAGTATCAGTACGGTACAAAGCCAGATGGAGCCAAAGGAAGAAGAAAATGGTGAGGTGCGCCAAAACATGGCATCTCGACCTGGCTGGTCTTCCGCGCCGTACTACAAATGGGATTACTTTACCTTTTGTAGGACTCTGACAACAGCTCATCCTTGGTGAACGGATATTCCACCTTGGTTTCGGACTGACAAGGTGTCTTGCCATCGGTTACCGTCACACAGCTGGATGGTCCTCCCATAGGCTTGGCACTGCCATCTTTTTTGGCCTTGGCTCGTTCGGTCCATAACTTGTGCACAATCTGACTCTTGAACTTGCTGGCAATCAACGAAGAGTCCTCATCGCTCACGGTGCTGTCGCTATGGAGCGTAGTTTCGCGGTCATCCGACAAGAAACGCGCTGTTGTCGGAATGCCACTTCTGGCTGCTGCACCACCGCCCAATAGTGATCGACGGGGCAGCAATCGGCTCCGGCCAAGCAACAGTCTAGTAGATGACAACCAACTCATTGCAACTAAGTGTTTGCTTGTTGGACATTTCTTTGACCTGTCGCTCTTAGGATCCTTTTTGCCATTTTTGTTCTTCAAAGGCAAAGATCCAACTTTCGGCTCTGCTGGCTTTCATAGATGGAACAACGGAACTTCCGTGCACTCAAGAAACGCATCCACAACTCCCGACTCCCGACACACCACTTAGTCCACTTCAAATGGATGTTGCAGCCGTACCCAAGAAACGCCCTCTAGGTCAGGATGATGTGGAGTCAACAAAGCAGCCAAGCGAGAAGAGGGCAAAAGGAGCGCATCAAGGCGATGCGTTTGGCAGGCTTTGGAGTCAACCAGAGATTTGGGTGAACCACATTCTTCCGTATCTTGGAATGGGACATTACATTTTCGTTGGGCTCGTCAGTAAACAAATGAGAGACATGTACAAAAAGTACTGCGATACTGTGGAAAAACTGCTAATTGTCAAGGCTGGCTATTTTCTAACAAGCCCAGCAACCTGCGCGGACACATTCTACAGCATTGCCTTTTACAATGTAGCCTGTGCTCAATTCTGGGAGAGACACGACAACAAAGCATCGTATTCCTATGGTCTGGCGTGTGCACAAGCTGCTAAGATTGGTAATCTCAAAGTCATCCAGTGGGCAAAGAAGAATGGCCATGAATGGGATTCCAAAAGTGCTGTGAATGCAGCTCGTAATGGGCATTTGGATGTTCTCAAGTATCTTCGCCGGCACGGCTGTCTGTGGGATGAAGACACTTGCTCCTCGGCTGCAAAAGGCGGTCATTTGGAAATTTTGAAATGGGCCCATGAAAATGATTGCCCATGGTATGCAGCAGCAATGTGCTCCAGCACAGCGGAATTTGGACATTTGCATATTTTGCAATGGGCTTACGAAATCACCTCTCCAATTCGGAATACTGGGAGCTGTCCATGGAATGCAGAAATATGTTCCAGAGCAGCCAAAGGGGGGCATATGCAGATATTGAAATGGCTTTATGAGCATGCATGTCCATGGGACGCACATACCTGTGCCAATGCTGCAGAGGGTGGGCATCTTGTCATGTTAAAATGGGCTCGTGTAAAGGGGTGCCCGTGGGATGAATTGACTTGTGCAGCAGCTGCAGGTGGTGGGCATTTGTTTGTTTTGAAATGGGCTCATGAAAATGGCTGTCCGTGCAGTACTGTGACATGGCACTATGCTGCCAGAAATGGACACTTGGCTGTTTTGAAATGGCTTCATGAAATTGGCTGTCCATGGGATGCTCATGTTTGTGCTTGTGCTAGCAAAGGGGGGCACTCAGAAGTGTTGAAATGGCTTCGTGAACACGGTTGTCCATGGACTGGCAGCACTTGTGCTGGTGCCGCCGGGGAGGGTCATTTGGAGCTGCTGAAATGGGCTCATGACAATGGCTGCCCATGGGATGAAGGAGCTTGTGCTGCCGCAGCAAAGGGTGGGCATTTGGATGTTCTCAGGTGGGCCAGACAGCATGGCTGCCCATGGGATGCTCAAACATACCACGCTGCCATCTTGTTTGGCAGCAAGGAGATCAAAAAGTGGCTTCAGGAGAATCATTGCCCCCAGGCCTAGCTAGTTGTTTCTATTGATCAGGCTGCGTTACCATACAACCATACTCGGACTGAACTTTGGCTTCGTCCGTTTTGGTGATCCTGCGAATTTTGCTTGGCAGAACCAAATCTGGCGGTCCAGCCAAAAGGCTTCTTGCCATAGAGGGTTCGGCTGCAGGCTGAGCTATCATACCTGGTTCTGCCAGTCCATGGGGTTGCGCAAAGCTTCAAAGGTTCTCACATTTAAAAAGTTGCTCAGTCGGCCTACTAGGTTACTGGCTAGCTACGTCTATCGAAACCACGCCTGATCTCCGACTGTCGACAAAACTGCTGGGGCGGACGTTCAAACAACCACATCTGTTTAGAGAGATACTGGAGGAGAGAATTGTTGTTGTTGTTGTTGTTGTTGTTGTTGTTGTTGCTCTGAATCGTCGACTTTTTCATCCTGATTATCCGACTGTCGGGTTCGTTTGGAACGAGGCGACCTCTTGGCGGCGGTGCTGGGTGTATCATCATCTTCTTCGATATCCCAAGCCTTTCCTTGCTGGTAGCTTAACATGGATTGCACGATTGTGTCGTCGATTCCAACCTGGGGCAGGTCGAGTTTGGGCCGGATATCTGGAGAGGTTGATACAGAATCACTCATTCGCGACATGGAGTCAGCTTCCAAAACCGCCTTGTCGAGTCTGAGTGAGTCGCATTCAGCCTTCTTTCTTGAAAGATCATCCAGCAACCGCTCTTTCTCACGTTTTGCACTTGAATGTTCTTCCTTGAGTTCCTTGTTCTTTTCTTTAAACTGGTTGCGCTCAGCAAGCAGCTTGCTCGTGCTCGTTTGAAAGTAGTCGCATTCAGTTTTTTTCCGCAAGAGATCTCCTTGTAACTGGTCTTTCTCTTTCTTGGTAGACGAATGTTTATCTTTGAGGCGAACATATTTCTCTTTGAGATGAACATTTATTTCTTCAGACTGGGTTAATTGCGTCTGAAGATCGTTTGCAGTTTTCTTCCATTGCTCATGTGAAGCTTGCAAGTCTTCGCTATGTTTCTTCAAAGCGACGTACTTTTCTTTGATTTGCAGGTTCTTATCTTTGACCTGGTTGTACTGGCTTTCAAGCTTGCTAGTGCTAACCTGAAACTTCTGAACAGTCTCCTGGAAAAGCTTTTCCACTTTCTTGTGTGTCCCCTTAAGCCTGTCATGTTCCTTCTCTTCTGCCACGAGATCATCCTCAAGTTGGTCCTTCTCCTGGGTGATCTGAAGACAAGTATCCTGAAGCTCTGTCTTCTTCGTTTGAATTTTTTTCAGCTCTTTTTCTAGGCATCCATTCACTTCTCTCAAACAATCGCCTTCTTTTTCGGATTCTTCAAGTTCCTGCAGAAGCCCATCTCTCTCCAATGTCGTCTCAACGTAGTGCTGTTCGAGCGCTTTGTTGCTCCTCTGTAATGAGTTTAGGTCGGACGTGAGAGAACGATTCTCCTTCTTCAAGTGTGTACATTCCCAATCTAGCTGATCAATCTCCTTTTGAAGGTGATTGTCCCGAGCTTGGTGCTTTTCTAAAGCCTTCTTGTGCTTATCCTTCAAATCGGCATGATCATTGCGCAGCGTATTGTGCCCTTGCTGCAGGTTGGTCAAAGACCTCTGGAGACGTTCGTTTTCGAGTGTTGTCTCTGCTAGTTGCTCTTCAACAGTCTTGGCCGTGTCATCTAGATTTTCATTTTCCGTCTCTAGCTGCGTACATGTTTCCAACAGTATGACGCGCTCTTCCTTGAGGGCCTTGTTGTCGGTCTCCAGATACGCAATAGTTTCCTTCAGATCCAAAATCTCCTGCTGAAGCCGTAGGTTTAGCGGGCCGATAGTGGCCGTAGGGAATGCCATGGGCTAGCACTTGGCTCACTCAACCTGATCTTCGTATTGATTGTTTTTGGTAATTAGAGCGTTCTGAAGGAGTAAATAGAAATGAATGAGCTTCCACTATCGCCTTGCAAGATGGAATCAACGTGACTAGTCATCAGTTCCGGTGGGTCAAGAGGAAGAAATGAAGCTCCGAATGGATACAAGGAGCGGTTGAGGGAGGCGGTTACTTTTGGAGCACCGCCCATCTTGGTTGGGACATGATAGTAATTAGACTTCGGCGAGATGGATCTTCGATTTGTTGGATGCATCCAGACTCAACGCAGAGAAAACAACGGCCAATACCAGCCAGCAGAGCTGTAAGGCAACATCGAAGTACAGTACTAGCTAGCTAGCTAGCTAGTACAGTACTGCACCAGAACAAGTCCAAGACGACCTCGGTTTGTTGCTGGCTCTGGCTGCCGCTACTCTAGCTAGCCAGCTACCAGGTAGCGACAGCACGGAAAGACTTAGCCTCCGGCTCCTTTTTGCGAGTAAGTATGCGCACGGATGACGAAACGACCAGAGACCGAGTGCACCTCGAGGGTACGAAACCTGGTACGCTGTACCTGGTAGCTTGCACATTGCCTGCTTGTTCAGGTAAAGTGTTGGCGAATGTGCAAAGTGGGCTCGCCATAAACTAGATTTTCTGGATGGCCTCCAAATGGAATTCCTTAGTAGCGAAGAGCGCGCAAGGTATAGGACCGAACCATTATGATATGTGCACCAATCTACCTCTACAGTAGAGAGAAGTGATTGCAAGCAAGCTATTCATTGGCTATGTTACTATCTTTGCTTCTTCATCGCCCTCCTCTACGTATTTTGACAATCGTGGGACACATAGTGAGCCCAGAATGAGCTGCAATGGATGAACAAACATGAGAGGGGTGCAATAAGCAGCCACATTGGGAGCACCTTCAAAAATTGTGTTGATGAGGGGCAGCCCAAAAGCTAAAGTCTTTTGAGATGCTGTAAACATGGCTGCCACAACCTCTCTTCGGGTGAATTTAAAAATTGGCAACGAAAATGTCCGAAAGAGCACACCCAACGAGAGCAGGTGCATGGCCGGTATCAGTATCGACAAGGTCAGAGCATGCCTCAGCTCCAGGCCGAGACCAGAACCGGCAAATGTGTTGCAGAATGCATTCCATACAATGCCTAAGAGTATAACCTGTTTTAAAAGTGGATACACATTGAACATGAATGATGAGTCTGAGCTTTGGCGCTAGATATCAGATATCAGAGGGTGTGGCGGATTCACTAGCTTCGCTTCTACCGTAGCTTGCTTTCTATTGGAATGACATACCTCTTGCAGTCTCTTGAAGAACTTGGCATTCTTCTTGTAAATTTCCTTGCCACCAAAATGGCGAAGGGTCTGACCGGCAGCTGGGTAACGAGGATGGCATGTGCAGCACTTTGGTGAGATGACTTGTCAGGAATCAATCCATGTCCTCTGCTGACTATACCGTCACTTACCGACTGGGAGCAGAACTTGGCTGCAAAGCTTCACAATCATATCTATGAATGGCAATTGGATGTACTTGCCAAAAAAGCGAAGTAAAAGAATTGGAGTGACAAAGATTCCAGCCAAGTTGCTAATGACTGCGTTCCAAAGAGCTGTAGCAACACTGCCACCAGCAGCCGTTGTCAAAATGACACACATATTCACTGTGGTGGGAAGGCATGTCAATATCAGCAAGCCATCTCGGAGTGGTGCTGATAGAAGATTTGGAAATGCTCGTTCCAATAGCGAAGTCAATGGGACACCGACCAAGAGAGGCCAGAGGCCAAAGGTGGTCAGTAAGACGGATGTGTTGAGTTTGTGATTGGAAGCTGCTTGCTTCAACTCTGACAGCTCCAATGACAAGGCCCGATAATAAGAATATGCACGCCACTCCAAATTTGCCGATAAACAGCTCGGCTCTCAAAACGCCTCCACTTCTGCCAAGCTTAGAAAGAGATGACGACGCAATTAGCCGAATACCATGGCGATGGGAAAGTACTTATCAAGAAAACTTACCAAGGGAAACGCACGAGCCAGACCAACGGCCACGAACATGCCCAGAAGGAAGAAATTCTTGCTGGCAAATTGGCACCACTGTTGTGCAAGTATTGACAAGGCAGTCGGGTTGGTTGTCTCACCATTGTCATTGGTCGTGGCACCAGCAGTACCAATACCACCACCCCTCAGTTGCATTAGTAGCGCTTTCGACGAGCCCCATTGTTTAGCATCCGAAACACCCCGTGACAGCGTCCGTAGATCCCTCCTTTGCAGCAACTGTCCATGACTTTGCTGTCGCAATACTGATGGACAAAAACACTCCAAATGCCCAATGATGAGGCAAGCGAGCAAAAGGGATAATTGTCTGCCTGGTCTCATAGCTCTCCTGTACCGCTAGCTAGGCCTGTTGTCTGCTGTTTGTTTGATCCCTGCTTGTCTTTGGCTCGATGATGAACAGGGCACTTGCAAACGATGTGCCGATGAGCATTCAACATCAACGGCATACAGCGTAACAGTACCTGGTACGAGTAACACGGCGTCGGAAGGTTGTCAAAGTGCGTGTTCATGGCGGGATTTCTAAGTCCCGTTTGACAAATCGGACGGCGCGAGGCGAGGAGAGCGATCCTCGTGCCAGGCACAAGACGAACTCCGGACGATCCGGCAATTGGGTGCCCAAGCTAATTATGAATCACGACTGAATGGCTGTAGGGTTCACAAGCAGGATTTAAGCGAGACGATCTCCTAAATAGTCTCCTAAAACCGGTGCGAGTATCCAAAACGGTCGCAAATAGGCGATCGCCTAAACGATCGCCTAATTCTTCGAGAAACAACCCGTTAAATCCTAGTAGCAGTATCCTAAATCCAGGCAGCAGCCTAAATAGTCTCCTAATACCGGAAACGGTCTCCTAAACGATCGCCTATTTTTAACCGTCGCCTAAACCGTCGCCTAAACGATCGCCTATTGGTGACGTCAGTATGACTGTTCAATCCTGAAACGATCGTCACAAATCACCATTGCCGGATCGTCCAGAGGCAATGTTTGCGCTCCTCCGATACTAGTACCGGTGCTACAGGTATCATATATTCCCCAGTACCAGGTAGAATACAGAACTCTGGTGACAACGCCCTTCGTCCGCTCTTCAGCAGAAGTTCAGCAGAAGAACTCAACTTGCTGGTCTAGCCCTGTTTCACGATGCACCCGTGCATACCGGTATGCCGTGTCGATAACATATTTCACTTCTGTTTTTAAAATAGTAGCTTTGATAGTATTGTCGTGGCCGATAGTTGGCTTGTAAAACAGGTTTGTTTGTTCCCACATGTACCGGTACTCGCTGAAGCCAAGCATCGCCTTGACTCTAATTGTAGCATTCTTCCATCGCTATCGCGACTGAGCGGCAGCGTGAAAGAGAGTTACTGAGGCAGCGGCACGACAAGTAGTGCAGAGAAAGGAAGCAAAGTGCGCGTGCAGCGTTGGCGGCCGTCCGACCTACATGTACCTTCAAGGAGAGGCTGCCGCTCTCACATCGCACAGCAACGGAATCTCGAGCACTTTGCATCCCGAATGATCCAGAGCTAGGAAAAGATTCCCATGGATGAAACAGCCCTTGTCGACAGTGCTAAGTTTATTGGCGTCGACAAGAGTGATACAATCAAGGGAAGAAGCAAAGCAGCAATGCAAGACAGGTATTGGATAGCCCAACAAGAAGAGGAGCACACGAAGGACGTGGCTGGAGCAACTTTGTTTAGAAATATGAAAGCAAAAAGACTGACATTGTGTTACTATCCAAGGCTACATGAGGCAAAGAATATCAAGGAGAATCCTTGTTTCGACACTACTGTTATTACAATTACGGATGTCGGTTGGTCGGCTACACCAGCATTTGCGGGTGTGGACCCAATGCGGCCGTTTTGCATTACGGGCATGCGGGAGAACCCAATGATCGACAACTCGAACACGACAATATATGCCTCTTTGACATGGGAGCCAACAACAGCTTCCAACCAGTACAGTGGCAACAAGGCGCATTACAGCCACGGCCAGGATGGACAGAGAAGGGGTGGGTGGGCAAGCCAACCCAAAGAAGAGGATAGATCCCTCTTAAGGATGTTTGGGGTATAAATTGGGAAAGGGGGCGGCATGAGGCGCAAGCGCCATCACACCTTGTCAAAAATTATAGACAGACTTGGAGCTGAACCCCAAGTGCTACAGCATCACGTACAGTCCACAGTATTTCATGCGTGTATTGACCAGCTCCACTGCAGCCCCACAGCCCTGGTTGAACAGCTGCGTGAGTGTCTAAGGTAAGTATGAGTACATCCACTTTGATATGTAGTGGACAATTAGTATTGCGCTAGATTCTTGGTTTATTGCGAAAGCGTGTCTTCTGTGTAGATCTAAGGAAATCGAATCTCGAATTTTGGCCCCGGCAGCTTCTTGTCTGCATCATTCCAGCAACATGCTTTGAAACGTGGATACCAGTACCTGCACGCTGCACGCCTTGACCCGACTGCTCGGTTAGTCGCTGATTGCACGATTGTCCTGTGAAGCTCGGCAACAGAACCAACACAAAATCAAATCCACAGCGTGCTACGAAAGACACCAACACCCGCCGAAACAATGTATAGTCTGGCTCTGGCTCTGGTTCCTCCCGAGGACTATCGACTCGGAACAAGCCCGTCATTCGTTGACCATGCAGGGGCAGTTCGAATAATTCGGGATACCGTGGGCTTTTCCAGAGCCACCATCAAGTTCATCCCCAAAGACGATGGAGTCGAAGTCAAAATTGATGTTGACGACAGGACCGGAAAATGGGGCTGTGCTTGGATACTACAAACAATAAAGCTTTCCACCAAGCCCGGGCAACGGAAAGAAATGACATGGGCCAGAGCCGGAGAGATAACTTGGGCCCGCCTGAAACTCGCAGGAAAATCAGATGAAAAGCTTGTGGATGTCGTCAAAGATATCATTATCATGGGAACACTTGAGCTTGCAAATGTTCCATCTTGCATAGCAACATCCCTGGCCAAAGCGCTGTGTGAAAGCCAGCTCACAGTTCTCAAGATCACCAGATCCATGGTCTTTTCAGAGGAAGTGGCAAAAATGCTGGCACATATCCTATCAAATTGCAAAACACTGGAAGGCTTGGAGCTTGCATCATGCAATTTTTCCGGTGCATCTCTCGAGTCAGTCCAGCTGGTTGCTGATGCCTTGAAGAGAAGCAGGCTTCAGTCATTTAGCTTTGAAACTCATGGCAGACGGGGTAGCCTTGCCCTTGCCTTGCTGCTTGGCAAAGGGTTGGTGGGCCACAAAACTCTCAAGAGCTTATGCTTTTCCGGGCACACATTTCATACTGTGGATGCCGTGGCTGCCCAAGTGATCCTCTCCAAAGAAAATTGCATGGTGAAGGAGTTGTACATCAATTGTTGCACTGATGCGGAGCCCACAGAGCTTGTGGGGCTTCCAAATTTCACCGGTGGGGCTGTTAATGTTGTGGATGCAGTGGCTGCTTCTTTGAATGACAATCGGACAGTCACCCTTCTTGATTTGTCTGATACCAAAGTTGTGTCTGACAAACAGATGGAGGCACTGGCTGGTGTGTTGTCCAAAAACACAGTTCTGGATGAACTCATTATGGAAAGCTGTGGAATCTCCAAAGAAGGGATCATTGCATTTGCTTCTATGCTCCCTGAAATGCCATGGCTGAGAAAGCTAAACTTGAACATGACCAAGTGTGGTCCGGAGGTGTGTGATGCCCTTCGGGGTGGCTTGGAGAAAGGGAACTTTGGCCTTCATATGCTTGAATGTCAGACAGGACGCAGGTGGGGCTGTTGCTCCCCGTTGACTTATTTCTATGACTGTGATGAGCAGTGTCGTCTGGCTATTGAGTGCCGATTGGCAGTGAACCGGGGTGGGTTGTCCCTCCTTGCCAAGCAAGACAGTGCCGAGAAAAATGTCCCTTCGTCGCTTTGGCCTTACGTTTTTGGGAGGGCACAAACCGGCGGCGCATATTCCAATGATGTTGTATTCAACCTTTTGAGGGCGCAGGTGGTCACCTTTGGTCCTGGCACTGTTTGATCTAGGGCAGCCTTTGGTCATTGTGGTGGTGGCAGAGAGTTCACAAATAATGAGGCGCGCTGTTATTCGGTGGTGTTAAACAACTAACGTTCCGAAACCGACTCGTCACTCGTAGCAAGCGACATTGGGGATGGTCGGCAGTGAGATTGGGACGTGGCCACGTTCTGTGTGGGTCACTGCGGGCTCGGTTTGGTGGCTTTGGTGGGTCGTTGCGTTTTTGCAAGTGTGTTTCTCTGTGCCTCTACATGTAGGCCCCAGCCGTTGCCCCGGTGAGGCAACAGTTGCCAGTCTTTTTGTTGATGATGTCGTCATGGTGGCAATTTCCTTCACTGTTAGAGACAAAGTAGCAGACGACAGGACTCATTGAATTCCAAGTTTGCAAATTGGGGGGTGCAGATCATGAAAAAAAGAAAGCCCGGCTCACTCTGCCGTGGAATCGAATCACTCTCTTATCTCTTTAGAAGACAATATAGAGACCACAACGAAACTCCAGCAATGGTCAGAAGTTGGATTTTGTATAGCTAGATACAGAAATAAAGTCTTCTAGCTCCCTAAAAAGATACACTGGGTAGAACATTAGCCCAAGGCGTTGCCGTGTCTTTGACCGCTAAGACGTCCCTGCATCCTGAATCCTCAACTCCCGCGGGTCGTCCAAAGGGTCTAAGAGAACAAAAACTAGCTGTGTCTTTGAGAGCGTTGCGTCGCCGCTACTGCACTACAAAGGGCAGGCTAAGGATCGTCTGGTCCAACATGTCCCAGAGAACCCCGGGAGAATCTGTCTCAAAACCGGAACAATCGTTCGCTCTGGTGGCTTGCTTCTTCGGTCGTCCCTCGTTTGTTCGCACCAGACGCATCCAGCACATCAATTCCTGCAGTGGCTCATTTTCATCCCTACAGCTACCTCCCAATTGCGTCGTAAAGGCAGGTTAGCTGCAGAGCTACCCTTACGTACGCGTTATACCACCAATTGAGGTCCCGCTGCGCATGAACCAAGCACATTGTAGATAGAGGACACCAGGATGCCTACTAGCCTAATCAATATCAAAATAGCAGTGTGAAATCCTACTATGGAACACAAGGGACGATGTTGTACAATGTGGGCATAGTAAGCGAGCGGTGCGTTGCATGTTCCAGGTTTTTTACGAGTGTTCCAGTGTTGACCTTTTGCACCACGACGTACCGTACTGTACCGCATTGGTCCTTACGTTACTCTTACGGTACTTCCACCGAAGTGATCCATTGCCAAGGCCCTCTCGCAGAGCGCCATGGGATGCCGACGTCGCAGACCAGTACGACGTTAGCTCGATTCCGAGTCGTTTGAATGGCTCAATCCTAGAGCTGTCATTCGGTCGGTAGCTTGCATCCAACCGCCAAAATGATGCATTCTGGTGACTATCGTAACAAAAGGAACACGGGCCATACTACAAAAGCAAAGGAGCCCCAGGAACTGACGATACGCGAACGGGGAAACCAACAGCGTTCGTACAGTACACAATCTAATGCTGCAATTGGATGATCCCGAAACACAGTACAGTAGTCAAGTTCATTGCGTTTCTCGGGGCTACCGGTACCTTGAGTTTCAGAAGCAGAAGAAATCGATCCGATCCGATACGATGCGAGCTCGGGGGTTGCCAAAAGCCGTAGCCAGAAATTGAATCGAGTCCACGTTGCAAGGTTGCTCTTTGCTGGTCGCAAGAAGATCATCGTTGTCTGTTGCCGATTATATCAATTCTGCTGCACAACGTGAGCTACGAAGAGATGTCCTTCGTGGAGAAGGAACGAGGCCAAGTTGCATGATAGCTATGCAACGCACAACATCGTGGGCGAAACCAATTTCTTGCCCATTTACCGATACTCTTCGGCTGAGCCAGATGGGGAGATACCCTACCGGTACCGTGGAAGACAATATGTGAAGAATGGAGATATTTTGCCTTGATGCGATCGTCATTGCACAATGGCTCCACACCTCCAAGGAACACCGTTGAATTTCTTCAGTGTTGGGTGGACGAAAAGCTGATTCGATTGATTCGTTGGTTGATTTTCCTGGCATCTATATGCAGCTGACAGGGCCAATTAATTGGTATATGGCGATGCAGCAAGGGAAAAAGTATGAACAAGTAAATGAATGAATTAGGAACTAGAATGAATGGTGTTCTGCTGTGATTTGCAATTTGTTGTTGTTGTTGTCATGCATGCCTTGGTTTTCCTTTTTTGCCGTTCAGACTCCTTCCACAATCTGCCTAACTTTTTCCGGAGTGTGATCTACCATGGATTGGAACGGATCGTATCCTCCAAATTCTCCCGTCGCTGTCTCGTGTACTTCCTTGTACGCCTCGGCAATGGCATGAGCCACCTGCTTTTGCAATTCTGGATTGGTCAAGCTGAGTTTATTGGACGCCAAGTAGGCATAAAACAGGTTCATTCCATCTTCGAGTTCCTTTTGGGAGAGTCCCGTATAGGAGACCATGGGAATCGACGATCCCACGCCATGCGCTTCTGCCATGAAATGGACGTCATCCCATTTCTGCTTGGCCGTGACAAGGGCACCCAAACCACTCTTGTCCATATACGATTGCGTCTCGTTTTGCACCAACTGGACCCAGAGCTTTTGCTTCTTGTCACCCAGTTTCACCCGAACCGAATCGGGAATGTCCTTACCAGACTCTTCGGCCACTTTGAAATTCGATTCCAACGACGCAAATTGCTCCAAAGTAGAAATCTGAGCCAAGGCGGCGTCCAACAAGGGTTCACTCAATAGCCAGTCCATGGTCTTGCTTGTTTGTTTTATCGTTGTTGTTATCGTTGATAGTAGTGTAGTAGTAGTAGTAGAAGAAGACGACGCAATGAAGCAATTTGCGAAGTTGTTGAACAGTTTATGGTCGATGTCCTTGTGACTCTCTTCTCTCAGACATCGTATCGAGAAGAATTTTGGTGGCAGCTGGAAACTGGAAGAAGTTTGGTGGCTTTTGCGGTGGCAAAGGCTTAAATAAAATCCGCACAGAATGTCGTATAGATGACTGAAGTACAAAATTGATTTAACTGAATCATTCTTCATGACCCTGCCTTAAACCAAAATCCCAACAATTTACATTCGATGACCATTTCTTTCTTTGAAACGGACAAATTGAAATGTCCAAGTGGTGACACCAAGGTTAGGGATACAGTAGGGCGATGGTCCAGGAGTGGAGGCAAGTGATGAGATTGCCAGGGTGTTGGTCCTCGAAGTGGTCCGGAAGTTGCACCAAGAGTGGGGCATGGGGTGGGTCCAGGGATAGTGCTGTGCTTAACTGGAAACACAGGCTGGTGCTGAAACCTGAAAATCGATACGGTGGATTTCACTGCATAGACATACAAGGTAGTAACTGCTGGAATCTTTGAATGATTTAAACCATGCATGGCCATATCGGGAGCAACGGTAGCTGGGGAGCTATATGATGCAACCTACAAAGTCAAACAACCGAAAAGTTACCACAGAGTAAAGCCTGTGTTTTAGCGATTCGGCAGTTTGTGAGTAAACTTACTTAGTTCAGTCACTTTTTGCTAAAATCGTATGACAACCTACAAACTCTCACCTCAGTTTGGTGCTATATTTGGACGTCATTGAAAGCCTGTGCTAGTCGATTGAAGATTCCTTCCTTGCCTCTACGTTTTGATGTTGTTGTTGATTAGCCCAAAAAAGGGCATCTAGCTACCTTGAAAATGGATGCATACAGCAGCAGCACTCCGTACTGAACATGGCTCTGCCTGACATCTCGGTCGAAACCAACCAGACAACGCTGTTGTTTGTGTCGCCCCATCAGTGAACTCTTTCGGATGAATCATGGTCCCACCGTGCGTCCTTGGGCTCATTTCGGCAAATATTATCGCAGATAGTATTGGCCCTGCCATTTGACTTGAGAATTTTATGTCACAAGGCATCTCATATATGGTAGATTGCATGATCAAGCAGATCAATTTTCTCTCAATGCTTGGATCGCTTCTTGTTCTTTTTCACTGCCTGTTTCTTCTTGCTGGCATTCTTCTTGTTGCTGCTGCTGGCTGGGAGACCTGAGGATGCGGCCTTGAGACTCCGACTGGCTTTGCTGCGATGTTCTTTGCTAGCATCATCCTGATGCAGTTGAACCACAAAATTCTTCAAGAACAGGGATCGTTCCCGTTGGTTTTGATGACGGCCATCCGACGAAAGTATGGCCTTGGTTTGTTGATTTTTCCCGAGTGTCTGCTTTATAGTTTCTGTCCGTTGTTGAACCGCTCGCACCATTGCAGCATCTTCTTGTTCCTGTTGCTTTCGTTGTTCCGATTCTTTTTGTTTGATCTTCAACAGTGCAGCTGAAGCGCATGGAGTAGGAGATGAAGATGTGAACTCGGAAAGGTCGAGTCCTTGCGCAAAGCATGCTTCAAAGCCGCCCTTCTGGGCACTGCCACCAGCTTTTTCGATGGCACATTTCAGACTGCTGCTCATGGTCAGTGGATTGATTAGAGCACAAGAGGGGTAGACTAGTCTCGAGGGAAATAAATGTTGGATGCAACGGGAAAGTGTGAAAGTTGGGAGGCTGTCCCAGAACAGTTGAGCCCAAAACGCAATTTTGGTGGTCCTGAGCTGTTGTTTATTGCCTTGAGTACCCGTCAATCTGTCACGAGTCCCGTGTAGCATTAGCTAGGGATTCTTTTCAGTGGCTCGGAAGAAACTTCAGTACTCTACTAGCTAGCTAGCTACCGTACTAGAGCTGCTGGGAAGGAAGTCACCAAGGATGGGTGTGTCGGTGTCATCGTCAATGACAGTGGGGAGATAGATACCTGGATCTTCTGCTTCTTGGTGGCACGAGACATGGTGCGTCACAATGGTAAAAATGAGAGTCCAGGGAGGCAGCTCCACCAAGGGCAGCAAGGATCTGCAATCTGCAAGCGGGATGAAGCTGCAAGTTGCTAAATTGGGACTCGGGAAGGACGAAGGAGGGAACAACAACCGCAGGAATTGAGAAACCAATCCATGTGCTGCCCAATGAACTTCGACTGTACCTAGCTAGCAGTGTTCAAAAAGTAAGATGAAAGAAAGGAGAGTGGGCAAAGCTATCTATGATTTGGTACTATGAATGATGAAACATCAAAGATTTGGTGTTAATGTACATGAGCTGAGCATTGGCCCCTTTGTCGAGCTATATCACTGGGCCAGAACTAGTAGCTAGTGGTAACAAGTTTGGGCGGATACCGCCCGCGTCACAGAAGAAGAGCAACAATGTGTTCCCGGTCTTGCGTGCTATCATCACAGTTGTCCCAACTGGCGGTACTCTCATCTTCTCCTGGCTCCTCGTCATTGTCGGAGGGAGGGAAAACCTCATCGAGAGCCAGGAGGGGAGGGTCCATGATGGCAACGGCCAAATTGGGCCTGTCTGCCTCAATTACAAGGATTCTTCCTTGCCAGGTATGATTCTTTTCGTTGGTCGAGGTTTCCTTGCAGAATTCTGGAACGAGTGGTTCTTCGAGGATGGAAGGGAGAGGCATAGTTATTCAATTTTTTGGTGTCGATGGATGATTTTGTGAGAAAGAAAACTGGCCAAAGGAGCTAGCGAGTATGCATAGCTCTATGCATAGCTAGCTAGGTGCTCATGGTGTAGCTGTGCTCATCTGCCTGGTATCGGCTCAAAATAATAACGTGGCTTTGGATTTCGCAGCGGTATTTGCGCATGTACAAGTTTTTTGTTTTGTTTTGCTTTGTCCAAGAGCCCAGAGCACCTTGACCAGGTTTCTGTGCACTGTGCAGCAATGCTCACCGTTGCTCTAAGTGAAAAAAGAGAAAGACTGCGCAGAGTCGTGCAGGCATTGTTCTTGGAATTCCTGGTACGCAACACATAAAGGTTGGGTTACATTAAGATCAAAATGTCGTAAAATGAGATTGATCTACAATTGTGCATTTAAGCTTCCATGGGTCTTTGACATTCACCCATAGCTCACCCATGTTCCATCATCCCACCATCGCACCCGATTCAGCCTGTTTCGGTTCCCATGCAGCCTTTTGTTGGCATTCTACCTTAAGCCCCTACTGAAAACCTAGTAGAACATGTACAAGTAGTACTTCTCGGTAGCAAAAGTACGTACCAGCACCTACCGGTCTCGTCTGGTAATTCCAAAGCGGTTCCACCCCACCCGCTTTATCGCTCTCACTCTCTCTCTTTCTCTCTTTCGCTCTTTCGTTCAAGGCTCTTTTCATAAAATCAGAACCAAACAGCTTTTTTCTCACCTCATCAACAAACATCATGGTGAATCGACTCCTCAAGCCCCTCCTCAAGCCATTCCAGCGACGAGAACAACAACAAAGCACCAAGAGAATCTGTCAAGGCTCGACCACCTCATCTTCAGACGTGACTGTGAGCAGCGGTGATTCCTCGTTCTCGTCTTCCCCAGCTAGTTACGGCGAGGAACTCTTGCAGATTGCCCAAGACAAGCGATGCACGCAAGTCGTGCTCAAGAACTTTGTGGCGCAATCCGATCGACAAGACTTTTTGTGTCTCAAGCAAGCCATGGCGACTCAATCGAAACGCCGAACGAAGCACTGGCGCGACATCAAGTTTGTCGATTCGTTGCACGGCAACAACTACCGACGATGGCAATTCAAAAAGGCGGGACTGTGCCGGTTGCTCCGTCAGAGTCCCAATGTCCGTGTCTCCAATGATGCCTACGAGACTCGTCCTACCACTGACGCTTGCTGTACGGTCCGCTTTGACACGCGTCTCGAACTGTCTGGCATGTCTCCGGACGCCATGGTCCGTGTGCTCGAGGAAGTCCACAAGGATTTGGACATTGCGACACTGGAAATCTCGGGAGATGTGCTTGCCGCTGGAATCAAGCCGATCATGACAGCACTCATTGCTTTGATAGAATTGAAGGATCGAAGTTGGGATGGAATCGTTGTGCGCATGGCACCCGTGGCCGATCCCGACAATGATGAATCCAGAATGACGAAACAAGAAGAACTGTGGATGGGACAAATGACACTGCGAAAATTCAGTCTGGCGCTCGAAGAAAAGGCCATTCAGCACAACATTCCAGTGGGCGTACATCAACAACAACAGCAGCAGCAAGAACAGTAGAATAAACTAATAAAACAGACTGAACCATACAAATTAGCGCTGTGTGTAGCTCGTCCTCGTGCGGGCGGGCGGTAGCTAGTTCAGTTGTCTGATCTACCAAGAGCTAGCGACTGGGTTTGATACAGCATTTATGCTCTGGCTAGACCAGTGTTGCGAGCGGATTACTGCGGTAGCTGGCTAGAACACAACTTGGCAACCCTCAACTCCTGTTGCAGAACCTGTGATAGAGCGGTCGAATGGGGCAAAGGCAAGAAGACAAACGAAACGCAGGCGTCGAATGAAAGCAATACACACAATCCAACTTCAGGACCAACACCAGGCCCAGCTCATGGGCCAATTCCGGCGTGGAATTCGTCCGGCCCCAGCTCCATTCCAACACCAGCCAGAACAAACACCTGGGCCTAGCTAAGCTGCCTAGCTAGCTTAGGCCAGGACGAACACCTGGGCCAACTCTTGGTCTAAACCAACATCCACACATCAACCCAAATCCAGAACTGGGCTTGAACCTTGCTTCTGAAAGGGAACTTCAAGCAAGCCAAGACCACTAAGAACTGTCGCGGACCGGAACCGGTCCTCCTGCAACCCTAGTACCGTATCGTATGCCTGGTGCTACTTAGGACAATGCCTGACTGGTGCCATGTATCAGTCCCAGACCATTTATTTTAGAAAGACACAAGATCTAATGGCAATGCCACAAGGTACCTTGATCCTTGATAGCTCCTTGATACGGTACGGTACGGTACGTGGGCAGTGGGAAGGAAGTCGGATCTTGGACAAAAATAAACAGATTGCGTTCAGAGGTGCATCGCATCCAAAAAGCCGCGGAGACGACGCTGGCTGTTTCAATCGAATGATTGATCGGCTTTATTCGATTGATTCGATTCGAGTGATTCGATTCGATTCGATCATGGTGTGAAGTTCCACGTGTTTGAGCAGGAACCGTCCCCAGTGAAGGGCCACCATTCGCAGTTTGCATGACATGACCATGACGGCATGACAAACAAATTTGGTGAAGAAGCAGTGGTTGCATTGTAACCAGAAAGCAAGAAAGAAACAGAACCGTACAGCACAGCCACAACAAGATTGATTGTTTGGCGGAACCCAGCCATAAAACGAACCATCAACGAGAACATCGATCCGTGTCGAGTCGAGTCGAGTCGAGTCAAGTCACTTGACCAAGCAAAGTCAAGCCAAAAAGCCATTATTTTTAAGGGACCATGAGCAGCAACGGCACCGAGAACAACAACGGCCATGTGGGTGGAGCCTATGTTCCCCCACACCGACGAGCCCAACAAGCAGGGAAGATGCCACATCAGACCTCGAAGCCACACAGTCATTCTCCTCATCAACAGCAGCCCCATCCACATCGACCAGGCGGCAGGCAACAAGGTGGCGGCAATCGGCAAGGACGATCGCCTGCTTCCTCTCCCGGTAGAAAAAAGAATAACAATCACCACAATCATCATGGTAACAGTAACAACCGCAACAATAACAAAAACTACAAGAGTAAATCAAGGAGCCCCACGAACAACAACAATAATAACCATAATCGACACCACAGTCCCACACGCAAAGAAGACTTGGCGCTTCAAAAACAGCAAATGCACACGCTCCAAGACGCACTCAATCGAATCTGTTGCATCAATTTGGATCGACGTCCGGATCGTTGGCAGTCCTTTGAAGTGCACTTGCATCAATCTCTTGGCAAGAAAATGGGACACTCACTCTGGCACAAGGTGGAACGTGTTTCGGCTGTCGATGGCATTCCAGACGACATGCCTGTTTCAGAACTTGTGGAATCGACATGGGATGCCTCGGAAAATGCCAAATGGGATCGACACATTGAACCACCCATGACCAAGGAAATGTCCGTGGGAGAAGTGGGGTGTGCCCTCAGTCATATCAAGTTGTGGAAGGAATTGGCCGTCACAGAACCCAAACAACGGGAGGATGGTGACGACACTAAGCAGGAACTTCGTCAAGCCACAATGCTCATTTTGGAAGATGATTCGCTCTTTTATTCACCCAAACTTGCCATGAACAAGGCTGCTTTGGGAGGACGCGTGCAGCCGCAACAACAACATGACAATCATCATCCTCACCATTTGTCCATTGCCAGTCATGATTTCTTGACGGCCTTTCAATTGGCATGGTCTCAATTGCCAGAAGATTGGGACATTTGGTACCTGGGATTCTCGGACCGTGGGGATCGAATTCCAGTGGATGATTTTCATTTGCCCAAGCCCCATCATCATCACCACGATCATGAACATCACCTCCATCATTATCCTTCCATGTCCATTCAAATGTTCCGTCCTACGTATGGGTTCCACACTCATGGCTATGTCCTTTCTGCCAAGGCTGCTCAGACATTGTTGGATAACCTCCCTGTCAAGGGACCACTCGATGTGTGGTTGGCAGACAATCAGTGGTTTGGACTCAAGGTGTACTGCTCTGTTGTCAAAGGTGAAGGGTGGAAGGGTACCGGTGCCTGGTTGATCACCCAAAACAGAAAACTACAGCAGCAGAACCAAAAGGATTCGGATATCGGCATGTCTGGTCGCAAGAAGAACAACAACGCCTAAGAATGATCTGCATCAAACAACACCAGAAGCCATGACGGGAAAGCGACCACAAGGAACATTCATGTGGCTTCTACACGTAGGATCAGTTTAGTCTTCTTTTCTACATGATAACCACAACAATACTCTTAGGAAACCCATCAAAGATTTGTGCTACCTCTTATCTACACTACGTATTTCCCCACCCCACTTCGGCTACTACTTCCCTTTTCGACCACTCGTGGAGGGGGTCGTGGAATATTGCCGACAACTGAGTCCCTAAGTCTCGTACCCACGAGAGCAAAAGTGGACCTGAAAGGGACTTCCAAAAAACACCTCATCGACAAGCATCTTGTGCTCTTGCACGACTTCCCACAAGAAGCTATCGTTTGCGGCTAGTCTGAGCAATTTGCACGTGTCCTTCTCAAACTGCAGAATTTCGGCAAAATGCCCCTGCGATTTTTAAAAGGGAAGAGAAAGTGAGGAATGGGTATATCAATCAATCAAGGGCTACACCAGATTCGCTCGATACTTACCTGTAGTTCATACCGGCCCTTCTTCTTGACAAAGAACTTATCCTTGGCATACTGCCGCAGCGATCGCATCAATGTGATGGCCTCCATGTGTTGCATGCACTGAAAAGTCAGATGGTTGTCGTTGCCTTTTTCTGTCATTGCGTTGCAGGACAGGAAGAAGCGTGAGGGTGTTGGCGCTCGACAAGCGTGCGGTACGCGGAGGGCCATATCATGCGTTTTCCTTGCGAACTTACCGGGAGAAAAACGTTCGGCAGCTTCGAGGAACTTCTTTCGGACTGCGCCAGTGCTTGCGGATGTCTTGCTCATTTCAATTCCTTGGACAACCAACTGTACTCCTCTGACTTTGTGCTGCTGCGGAGTCACGACTTGCTCACCAGCATCGATTCGGTTGACCTGGACAACGAGGCCGAGGTCGGCCAAGTGGCGAAGAGCAAACTGGGCCAGACTTTGGCCTTTGCGCTTCTGGCTCGTCTTACCGTTACTATCTCCCCAACCCGAGGCTGCTTCGCAAAGGTAGAGCTGCCCCTTGCAACGGGTGATAGCCGTATAGAGTGCACTTGCCTGGTCCTCAAGCTGGGGGTGGGACAGCGAATAATCACATGGCTCGAGTGCAACGCCTTTGACTCGCTCGGAGCTCTCCGTTGCAGTAATTTTCTTTGTGCTGCTTAGCCACCTAAGAGAGTTCATCCATTCACGGGGGCAATCGTCCTCCCAGTGCGAAAAGAATGCAACACAAGCGACGGAATTGAATTCAAGGCCCTTAGTTTCTCGGACACCAAAGACGTCATTCGTTACTCCCAATGCTGCGAGCTTGGTTCTCATTTCATCAACCACAGAATCAGGGCAAATAATGACAGTGTCAGCTCCTCGGAATGTGTTCTCGTTGGCCAGTTCGTCCAAGGAATCAATATGCATTGCACGAGGGATTGGGCCCTCCATCACGGCGTTTTCTGTCGTTCCAGGCACGCCAAACGATCTTGTGAGGACGCGTCGTATCGCCTTTGCAAGCATGACATTCTTGGCGTGGGTTCTGTAGTTGGTCGACAAGGAGATTTCTTGAAGGACATCTTTGACCTATGAGAGCAGAAGATCGGGTTAGCTCCGACAACCTGACAACAAACGCGTTATCGTGTGATTACAGCCCCATCAATCCCTCATACCTGAAGGTGTTTGCCGTCAGGTGCAAGGGCCCCGTTAAACACTCTGTTGATTGTTCCAGTCCTCATGCGGACTCCGATCTCGACAGACTGGGGAGTTAAACGCGGTGAGATACTCTGTGTTGTCTTTGTAATCGTGGAGGTCTCGAAGGAAGCATCAACCACATACCTGAGCTGGATCTGAGCCAAGGAACAGCGATCGAACACTGCTTGCAATGCGAATGAAGAGAGACAGGTCTAGCTCAGTGAAGTCTTGGGCTTCGTCGACCATGACCATGTCGAAGGGAAAAGGTGAATCTCTTAGGGATGATGAAAGACTCCGGCCGCCCGAGCAGGCACTCAAAATGTAGAGAACCCTGTCGGCTTCATCGTGGAGGCTCTCTTGGATCAACCACTCCTGGTAACGCTTGCAGAGAGTGAAAATGACCTCCCGTTGTTCGCGGTTGAATCCATACTGAGTTGGAAGTGACAGATATTGGTCTAGAGTCAATGGCATGTTCGTGGTAGCACAAAGGGCACTGGATTTTATGAGGCGGATATGAAGCCACAAGGCTTCAGCCATGATTGAACTCTTCTCCATACGCTTGCGCTCCAGCGGTTCCAAGAACTGGTTCACGAACCCTTCGTTGAAGCAAACACCTGTGTCAGTAGCAAAGCCCACACGGGAGAAAGCTGGGAAGCTTTGCGTTTCCCTTAGGGCGCTGGGCTGGATTGATCTGGTCATGTCTCTGATCAGTTCCTCGTACGTCGCGAAGGCGACGTTATCAATGTTCCGTTTCTGTTGAGCCTCGGATTTCATGAAGGCAACGAGCTTGGGCAGTCTTGTGATGACCAGAATTAAGGTATCGGGAGCTTCGCTAACCAACTTTTTGACCAAAGTGAGTGTCTTTCCCGTTCCCGCGCCGCCTTGCTGGAAATGCAGGAAGAAGTGATGTGTGAGGGGTAGGCGTTGCTGTGGGCATAACCGAAATTTGTGTCCTTACCAGGCTCGTGCTCTGCATCGCAGAAGGGAGGAGGAGAGTCTGCTCCTGCGATTCCTGTTTGAATAGCGCATCGCGGAGCTTTGCTTCTTGGTGCAGCATGCGTAGTGATGGCGTATAAGAGGGTTGCTTCAGTGCGTCCAGCTCCTCGTCAACGTTGACTTGGAATAGCGTCATTGTCATCACGTTTCCGGCGGCGACTGAATGCCCCATCAGATCTAGCAGGTGCATGTCTTTGCCGAGCTCAAGCACATAGTCCCGGCGAGGAGGGAAGTGATCGTCGGGATTGTCAACTTTGTGCCTGCGAAATTCAGCCGTCACAATTCTATGCTTGCAAATGTTGACATCTTGGTTTGCTCTTGCCACTGCCCAGATCAGCACTCCAACGTTGCAGACACCCTCGATGTAACTCGAGACGAACGGCGTGTAAAACAATACAATGTGACTGTCCGAACTTGACTCGGTCCCGTCGGACACAGCAATCTGTGTCATTCTCACGGCAAACTGCTTTTGGCGTTTTACTCCAACAACGAAACTACGATAGTAGACTGGGTGGGCGCTGCGAAGACTTTGCACGACGCCAAGGAGGCTCGACATTTCAGCCTTGGACGCTGCCTTCATCCATTCCCACACATACGTGTCGAAGAGCAAAACACGCGCGAACGTGCATGCGGATGGGTCGCTCAAAGAGCCGTCAAAGCAACAGGTGTCAATCCCTTCTGTGTCGGTCTCCTTCAATAGATCGAAGCTTCCAGTTACATGCAAGGGCATCTCGGAATCCGCAGGCACGGAAGCTCGCTCTGCAATGCGCAGTGTCGTTTCCCATGACATACGAACAGCCCCTGACGACAACTTCCTACCTTCCATGCCAATACAATTCTCGGTGGCACTTGCGCCAGAATCCTCCAAGAATTTGATCATTGCTGGATTCTCGAGATACTTAGCGTAGGCAAATGCAGTCAATCCTCGTGGGCACTTGACATCCAAGGACGCACCCAGTTGAATGCAAAGTTTTGCGGTGTCAAGGTCGTTGTTTTGTGCAGCAATCATAAGAAAAGATAATCCATGCAGATTCCTTGATGCGTTGATATCAAAGTGTGGGTCTTCTTCTACTCCCTTGTCTTGTTTCAGATCTCTTCTAATGGCAGCAGTCAACTTCTTCTGGATTTCGATGCGCTTGTCCAACTTATTAGATTCTTCCTTGATCTTTTCGATTTCAGATTGGATGCGTTTTTGCTCGACCTGCGATTCGTCTTTGGCTGTCTCGACTTTGTTGGTTGTATCGTTTGCTTTCTCGCTAACGGCCTCTAGAATCTGGATGTTGTTTTTGCACGCTCGCTCGTGCGCATCTATGATTTCTTGGGACCGCTTGTCAAAACAATGTCGGGCAAAGACAGTGAACTGACTAACTGCCCCCTCATAGAACTTTTTCGGATAAAGCTGCTTTGCTTCGTTCTCCGCGATCAACAGAGGTCGCTCTATTGCTTCGATCTTTGCCTTGAGAGCCAACTTGGAATCGGCAATGTCTTTCTGCAGCTTTGTGATCTTCCCTTCCAGCAAAGCCTTCTCCTTATGGCTGGTTCCCAGTTCTTTCTTTTCTCGGCCGAGTTTGTGTTCAAGCTTCAGCAGCTTCCTGCCTTGCTCTATTTGCTGGGGGTCTCGCAGCATTTCAAAAATGATCTCTCGCTCTGGCGTCTTGCTCGCGGAAGGCGGAGTAGGAAACAAGTACCGAGAAAGGAGCCCGCGGTCTTCGGGAACGCCACTGGGCTCTTTTCTGGGAGGCACAGGCTCTGACGACTTCTCTGCGACGTTGTCGCCCTCCTTTGGCATCCCATGCATCTTCGTGGGCGAGGTGGAAGCTGCAGAAGCTGCGACACTCTCAGTCCGTTGTCCATCAGTTGCGCCCCCCTTCGTGACACGATGCGGACGGTAAACCTTGCCACAGGCAGCCGCAAGTGCCGCTAGAAATGCATCTCCATCGACCCCATTCTGGTTCCACTCGTTGGCACTGGCATCCGCATCGATGGTAGCTCGATTCCACACGTCTTGAAGCGAGAAAATACCCCCTTCCGAAAAGGCACGGAGAGTGTCTTGCTTGTCATAGCACTCTCCTAGTAGACTCTCGAAAAAGTCCAAAAGCTGCTTGGAGTCTGCTTCCTTCTGGGCTTTCTCGGCATGTGCCTGCTCTTCTACTCGCTGCTTTTCTTCGGCATCCTTCTTTTGCCGTTCCATCAAGCGCTCTTGGCGAGCCCGTTCCTCGGCCTCGCGACTGATGCGTTCAATCTCTTCCTCCTCCGGAGTGGGGCTGTTGCCTGCCGTCTTGGGTGAGGGTTTCTTGGACTTGCGCTTGGTTCGAACTCTTTTGGGTGTCGTCGTCGTCACAACGGAGATTGGTTTCGGGTCGCCGTGGACCGACGACGGGGCCGAGGACAAGGTGATGGAGCTGGTATCGGAGCAAAACGTCTTGTTGCTTTGATGACGCTCTTCAATCCAAGTAATGAGGGCATCCACATAGGCTCCATTGTCACTTTGATGGTCGGTCAAATCGCCAATAGCATCTCGGGCTGCTTCCACGTCGACTTGTGCATATCCCATTTCCAATAGAAACTGCTTTGCGGCGGTCCATGGTTGCGTCTGCTTGGCCGCTGTGGGAGGAGTCTCTGGTGGGGGACTGGAAAGAGGAGGCGGGAAGTTGGACGGAACCAGGGCCACACTGGTAGGGCTACTCGTAGCACGCTTCGCATTGACTTCGTCATTCTTCCTTTTCTGGTTGCTTTTCTTGATGGGTGTTGGGGTGCTCATGTTGCTAGTTGGTGTCCTGTTTTTCTTGTTCTTGTTGGGAGTGTTGTTGCGCTTGTTTGGTGTGTTGTTTTTGTTTTTGTTTTTGTTGTTGTTTTCATTTTTCTGGTTTTCCTTATTGTTCTTGTTGTCATTTTTCTGGTTTTTGTTCTTGTTCTTGTTGTTGGTATTGTTGTTGGTAGAGGAGGAGGCTGGATTCTTCGTCTTTGCAGGGATTTCCACCACGGCAGGTTTGGTGGCTTCTCCCCCATTGGCTGTCTTGTTGTCATTGCCGATGCTGTTGTCGTTTGGACCCGTCTCTTTCTTATCGTGTTTGTCGTCATGTTTGTCTTCTTGCTTGTTGTTGTCTTTCGGTTCTTCCTTGTCACTCAAAGAGGGAGTGTCATCCTTCTTACCCTCCTCTTCCTGCACTGGCAAGAGCGATCGATCCATGTTGTTGTCGTCCATCATGGCCATGGCCGTTGGTTGCGGCAATCCTGGCGGCGAAAGGACCACCTTCTGCTGCTGCTGCTGCTGCTGCTGCTGCTGCTGCTGCTGCATGACAAGCCACTGCTGCTCGAGACAAGCAATCTGAGGAATGGCCGTTTCCAATTGCGACGCCAAGGTCGAAATGTCATGAGCTTGCTGCTGGACAATCTGGGTGAGCATCAAGTTACGCTGTTGGATTTCCGCCAACTTTTGCGGCAGAAGCTTGAAAGGAAGCCACGCCGCTTCAAACTGGTTCATGCCACCAGTGAGGTGGTTGTCATTGACAAGAAAGTTCTTGCTGTTGTTTCCATGGAGACCCGCCACCATGTTGGACATGATGAATGCCATTTTGTCACTTGCTTTCTCTGCTTATTGATGTCGAAAGAATAATGATAATCCGCGGGAGTTGGGAAATTGTGAGGAAACAAAAGGCTCCTTTCGAGGCTTCTCTTCGAGATCTTTCGCACGCGAGCCTTGGTCGGAGTTTCGATCTTTTGCTTTGGAGCTCTCGGGATCCAAGCATTACGAAAGTCCACATCACTTGACAATTTTCCTGTTTGGTCCTAGTTTTCGGAACGCGGCTTGGAAGCACTGCATGTTGTGGCGTTGCAAGTTGCAAGATAGTGATCAGCCACCCAGCTAGCTAGCCAAACTTCTGTGTTGACCTGGGAGATGGGCATGGAGTTGGTCCAAGGGTGGGGTATGGAGTGGGACTGTTGGGCTAGGGATGGGTCCATTGTAGAGAAGGTTTGGCCTTAGAGTGGAGTGCCCAGGAATCAGGCTAAAACGATTTGATGTTTTTGATCAGGCGCCAGGTGTGGAAAAGGCAGGTATTGGCATTGTTCCTGTGCACCCAAGAAAGTTGTACAGTAGTGTTGGCTGCTCGAGCCGAAACTGAGCCAGATTGACCTTTCCAATCTTCCTACTAGCTAACTAGCAGACAGTCGAAGAGCTCTAAAGGGAGATGTGTCTGGTGGTGGGCTTCACAAATCATTACTCATAAAGTAGTACCTGGTACCCCTACTAGCTGCAACTTCCGCACTTCACCTCAGTGGCAAAAGTCCGCACGAGGGGACCCACCTCGGGGCAAAAAATCCGCACCTCTGGTGGGGGGGGGGAGCACCTTGGTGGCACAAATTCTGCACCTCTAGCTGGGCGATGCACCTCCAGGCGACGCACCTCAGTGGCACAAATCTGCACCTCTAGGGCGCTCACCTTGGCGGCACAAATCCTGCACCTCTAAGGCAAGATTTGCACCTCTAGGACAATGGTTTGATCTACTATAGCTGTCATGATATTCTTTCATACTTTTTTGGGATAAGGGCCCTACTATAGTTACTAGGCTAGCCAGACAAACACTTTTGAAAAGAAGACAGATTCGATTCATCATTCAATTCGATTTATAAAATTATGAAGAGGTTGGCTACTGGAGAATAGCAATCCATCAATTACTGGGGTGGATTGTTGAGTTGTTCTGCTGTTGAAGCACTTGAAATTCTTTGTTGTCTCATGTTTTGGGAACATTCCCGAATACCTTTCGCAATGTTGTGAGCGCTGGAGTCAACATTGGCTCGGTTGCTCATATCCCACACATAGAGACGTTTCATAAGGCTGCCAAAGATGAGACCAACCACCACAATATCATTCACCCATATCATAAGTGATCTGACAAAGAACCCTGTTACAGGATCCTTTCTCACCATGATCAGCACAGGAATGGCAATCACAAAGATCTGAAGATTAGAGAACATGGCAATCGAAATGTACTTGCAGCTGCTGAACTCCTCTGGAATGTGTCTGGCACGGTAGCACATGAAGCATGCAACTGCCGTGAGGGCAAGGTGGACGATTCCAAGTACGGAATAAAACACTCTCCAGTGGTCAGAGGAACAATAGCCAATGCTCTCAAGTGGCTCCCCAAATAAATCAGAACTGATCGTTTCTCTGGTCCATTCCAGTGGATCAACAACAGACCACACAATGAGAATGATGATGTCCAAGGCAAAGACCAGACCTACCCAACGCAGGGTGTCTCTTATCGATATTGATACACGGCGCATTTCTGCTGCCGATCTGACAAGCTCATACACTCTCCAGATCCTTGCAAACAAGGAACCAAACGTAACACAGAACCCAACACTGTACAACCAGGGCACGGCCATGCAATTTCCCTCTTGTGCCTTCCATTCGAAAGGAAAATTGAACGTGAGGCATGGCACAAGAAACAGTAGGAAAGGACTGCAGTACAAACACGACAGATACAAAGGTTCCTTACCATCGCAATGATAGTGGAAGTACTTATGACCGCCCCCACTAGAATCAGTCCAAGGAACACTGGCTGTGCAGCTCTGAGCTGAGCTCTCTTCCTATTGTAGATGACCCATACAGCACATCCTGTTGCTGTAACGACTGTTATACCCACCAAAGCATAGGCAGTGATCACCATGCCTGCTGGAAGACGATTGAGATTTTCCTCCACAGCAATGGAACAGTCATCTCCAGTCCACTTGGTGGATTTACAAATACACACACCCCTAATACTAGCAATTCCATGTTCTGTTGTTGCAGGAGACAGATAGATGATATCCATTATTGAGTTTTGTTCTTGTCATGTGAGCTTGGAGTGAATACACGTAAAACATTGCAACAACACCTTACCTGCATCACAGTGTAGCTCACAATTTTGACCGGCTGTACCAACAGGACATCTTGCCACTTCAAAATACTTCTTGTGCAACAATTCCAAGTCGCCCTTGCTTCCAGCTTCGTACATCCATTTCTTCAAGAGCCACGATACCTCGGGGGGCAAGGATTGCTTCAGTGGCCAAATAAAGTACTGTGACTGTATATTCTCGGGAATAATGTCAACACTGAGATCGTCTTTGGCATAGCCTTCCAAGAGCAATTGATCGTTGGCCAATATGGCACAGTTTCCACCCTTTAGGAAATCAATGCATTCTCCAATGTCTGAACTCGGACAAGGAACACCCTGTATGGTTGGCATGTACTCCTGCAACAGGTACTCCACATAACTTGCCGGTGGGTAGCAGACCTCGGCTCCCGATCTCTCGGCATCGCTTAACGACTTGATCTCCCGCAACGTGTCTCCAAAAAGATACTTGAGAACTCCCAATTTGCTGTGCAGCCAGGTTGGCATAAAGTCGACCCGTTGGAATCTACCCACGGTCTGATAGAAATCCCCAATGATAAAGTCAAAGGCATTGCAATCGTCCAAGTCGTTTGGATTGGCTGTGCTGTTGCAGTCGTTTGCCACGAGATCCACGGCAGAGTCGTAGAATTTGGGTGCTACTCCTAGCTCCACGTGGAGTGGAATGCCATCCTGATCCGCATAAACTTTCATGCGCTCCAGTAGCTCAATTTCGAATCCCCCAAAGACACCTTCCTCATCGAGCGTGGCAAATGGCGGCGTTAGGAGCACCCCCGCGGTCAAGTTGATTGTGGATGGAAATTCCATGTCCGGTGGTTGGCCTACAGAAAATTGGAGCAACACCATGACTAACAGTAGTACTGCCGGTACTACAAGGGCTGTCTTGACCATCATCACTGTCTATTATCAAAGTATGCAAGCGCGAAAGGGATGTCGACTGCCGACTGTCATCTGCCTCCGTAGCTCCTTTTGTTGTGTTGCTGTTGCTGCTGTTGGTTTTGTTGTTCTTGTCGCGCCGAACGCCGAAGTCAAGCTCGTCGTCGCGCCCAAGCCGAAAATTTGGAATTCGGAAAGATTTGGTTCGAATATTCGAAACAAACTCAAGGTGACGTCAGATATCTGTTGGCATCAGCCGTGGCCATCGATCATTCTGCCACAGAATGATCCAACCTTCTTTGTGCTCGTCGCCATTATTTCTCTCCTCCAACCCAGAGTAATTGCTGGCTGTATAGCGTCTTTAGCTTCAAAGAGATGGCCGTCAATTCCGTAGCCTTTCCAAAAAAGCCTTGGCACTTTCCATGGGGATGGCTGCTTCTGTGTTTCCTGCCATGGGCCATTGAGTCTTTTCTGATATCCCCCCAGCCCTCCAGGCCCAATGTCTTGTCGCAATCATCATCATCATCACAATCACCATCCACTCGCCTGGCGGCTGCTGCTGAATCCACTTGGCAATCTCACGTGTCGACACATCCCGATGCGTTTAATGCTTTCAACAAGATTTACAACAAGGAACTTTCCGATACAGACAAGAGCCAATTTGATTTGGCCATGCTATTTGTGAGTCAAGCCCATGCCAATGATTTTGAAGCCCTGGTACAGCATGCCCACCGACAAATCAGTAGTGCTCCCCATGGAATCCGATTTGTGGCCCTCTTGGGAGGTGGCGTCATTGGAGAATCCGTCGAGCTCGATGAACCCGAACGACCCAGCATGTCCTTGCTGATTGGGAGTCTCCCACCAGGTGCTCAGATGAAAATCACCACCCAAGACAATACAGATGACAACAACTTCCTAAACAATAACGATGGAATCTGGGATCTTGTCAATGATCCGCTAGACGGAGCACCCACAAAGTACAACTCGTGTCTACTCTTTGCCGATCCGTGGGCACAAGTGGAACAATTCCTGGCGGCGCCCTCACAGCCGGACAACAAGGATCGTCCACTGGTTCTTGCCGGTGGCATTACGTGTCCGTATCTGGCGGATCAATCCAGTTTGGCGTTTGATGGAAGGTGTTTGCCACAAGGATCCATGATTGCCATTGCCTTTGGAGGAACCTTGGGTTTGCAGACCATGGTAGCACAGGGTTGTCGACCCGTGACGGAGGGATCCATCTATCGGGTCACCGCCTGCGATGGAAATGTCATTACCAAATTGGATGGAAAACCAGCCTTGCAGGTCCTACGAGATCTCGCCAATCAATCACCTCCTGCCGAGCAAGATCAAATCAGTTCGGGATTGCTCTGCGGAATCATGACGCCTTCGGACAATACTGATGATAACGACGTCAATAGTAGTGACTTTCTGAGTCGACAAATCATGGGCTTTGTTCCCTCCGTTCAAGGCATTGCCATTGGGACGAATCAGATTAGAGAGGGAGATCTATTTTGCTTTCAGGTACGAGATGGCAGCACGGCCCAGCAGGATTTGCAGCTCATGGTACAGCGGGCCAAGACAGCACGATTGTTCGATGGCAACCCCTCCAGGCAACCACAGCCTGTGGCTGCGATTCAGATATCGTGTGTTGCCCGAGGACGAGGCATGTTTGATGGTATTCCCAATGTGGATCTTTCCAATGTACAGCAGCTCGTAGAAACTACAGCCAGTCGTCCCAGAAATGGTGATAAAAATGATGACAATCCGCCACCAGTGGTAGCTGGCTTTTTTGCCAACGGCGAGATTGGACCGGTTGGTTTGGCGGGGTTTTCCACTACCAAAGCCAGCAATGGTCGAGCCTACTTGCATTCATTCACCACGGTGGCAGCAACTCTGTGCGAGTACACCCAGTTAGCTGAGACCAGCAGCGCTAGTGGAGGCGAGGAATCATCCCTGGATGCCTGGGGTTGAAGTGACATGGTGACGAAAACCAACCTGAACGGCAGTGCGCATCATACGCCACCCCAGGGCAATGGACCCCATGACTACTAGATCGGAGGAAACGCAAACATTCGTGCCGCTGGTGCAAACGTCCAAGCGTTGCCGGTACAGTCTAAAAATTCGTTGCGGTGTTCGTGAGGCCACCCAAAACCTGCACTTCCCACGCCTAGTGAAACGACATGTTTGAGTTAGCTAGCTAGAATCGAATCTACTCTCAGTAAATTACCATCCTCAGGGCCAGGCAGCAACTGCCAGCGATACTCTATAGTTCGTGTCAACTTGTGATCATCTAGATATCGAAAAATTGGCTTGTTGCATGCATGCTCAAATAAATATACAAACCTAGCAAGTACCGTAGTGCGCACTCCGGTAGCAAAGAGCTCACACAGCAATCTGCTCCTCTTGCTTGCACTCCTTCTCATCGATGCTCGCAAGTGCTGCCATGTATCCTTCGTCCTGAATCAGATCTCTCATGTCATCCAAAAAGACACTCTCGCGATGGCTGGGGTGTTCCACGTACAACCTTGTCCACGTCTCGCTCGTGTTCAGATCAAAGGCAATGTACATGTCCCACAGCGCCCTCCATAGCCACTTTTCAATGTCTGTTTGATGATTGGCATCTCGTGTTCGACCTCCTCCCTTGGTGGTCCAACGCTGCAGGCAAAACGAGGCGTCACTCAAAAGTTGCAAAGTCATGTACTGGATGAGCAACCATCGGAGAGAATCATCGCCATCAAAGAGTTCATTGATGAGTCGATCCAGGGTTGTTTCAAATGCCCCATATGCCTCATGCAACAAGGTCTTTGTGTCGCGTGTCAGACGCAGCTTGTTGGTTTCGGGATTGTGTTCAAAGCGACGCACCCAACTAGTACCATCGCTGGTCTCTTCCATACCAAGGGTGTGGAAGAAGCTACAAGACCGAAATAGGAGATGGCATGGTTAGGTACCACAGCATCACAATGCGTTTGCATTCCAACATCAGCATCAAAACATACCTAAATAAGAATTTGGTCAGGAATCCTGGCGCCGAATACAATTGCGGTTGTCCCAAATCAAACAACCAGAACGAATCCTCCGTCAAGAACAGGTTGTGCACTCCAGCGTCGGTCAACCCACAGGTCCAAATGCGTGTCAGTGCCATGGGCGATGTGCGTCCCATGAGTTTTTGTTGTCGTGGTTGCACCGCCGCCCGGACCAGGTTCCGCCAGTAAAAGCGATCCATTCCCAGCACGGTCGGTTCCAGTGGGACATTTTCAAAGGTATCCCCCATGAGGGCACCCTGACGGGTCAAACATCCCAAATGATAGGCGGGTACCTCTTCTTCGGGCGTCAACACGACCCTGTCCTCGCCGCCGTATGCTGGTAAATGCGTTCCCGTATGATGACTGCTGCCGTCCAGGAGTAGTTTTAGCTCTCGTTTCTTTTCAAGTAGTTCCGGATGATATGTGGGCGTGAATTCTCGAAATTGTCGTCCCAATTGACCCAACACGGGGAATCGCCCGGTTCCGTCTTGAAAGTTCTTTTTAATGGCATTGCCGACAAAACTATCGGTCAATGGGGATATATCAGAGGGTGTAATGTTTCCCTCTTCTTCGAAACGCATGACTTCGTGTTGCATATCTCGCAAATGTTGTGGACTATTTTCTTCCGTCGTCGTCAAGGTAGCCAAGTCTCGTACGAGTTGAATCTTTTGTGTAATCAAATTGTCCAATAGCGGTCCGTGCAAATCGCCGGAATAGAGCCATTGATTTCCCGTTTTGGGATTGTCACTTCCAATGCGTTTTTGTCCCAATGTGAATTTCCATTTGTGTTCCTTCATGAGTTGTACCAGATCGTTCACAATGGATTGGAGACAGGCATAGCCGCCACTATTGTTGTCGCATGGAATGACAATGTGTTGCGTCCAGCCATCTCCTTGACACGATGACGGAACCGAGACGGTAAGGGAATCTCCGAGCAATTCGATATTGCAGGAATTGTTGGCATCGTTTTCGGCGTTGTTGTAAATAGCAATGTCGCGATGTCCCGAGACGGTTCCCGACTGCGTCATGTTGAGACCATTGCGGGACGGGACATGTCGGAGTTTATTGTGTTTGTGTTGTCGTCTTGTGGTACCGTTAGTTGTAGTATTGTTGCTGAGACTGCTGAGATCATTGGTACTACTGCCCGTACCGGTACTACTAGTCGTACTGGTCATACTGGCCATGCTTTCGAAACTGGTCATGCTGGTACGACGACAGTTGTTGGATGACATGGTGGTGGGATCCAGAGTAATAGCAGTCGTATTGCCGTCGGTCTCGGACTTTACTTTTCGATACACAGGTTGTGGTTTGTTCAAGTTGACTTGTTGTGGTTGTTCTTGCGGCGTGTCTTCTGGCAAAACCAACAAGTTTCGACTGGAGTACTTGTAGAGATGGGAGAGTTTGTACCACAACTCGCGTCTGTTTTCTCCCAAATGATGCGGACTAAGATAAATAAATCGAAACTCGGGAATCTTTTCTTGCAAATGTTTTCCGGCATCGTCACAATGGTCGCAGTTACTGTGTTGCCGACGAACTTTGAGTTCTTCGGCAATGGTCGCCAAGGCAAAGAGTTCTTTGAGATCCTTGTCGCCTCCGTGTTTCATGACGACGTCACCCAAATCGGGATGATATCCTTCAAAGACGGCCACTCCGCTCCCACCTCCTCCCAACTTTTCCATATCTTCCAGCACGGCGGGTGCGTAACAATTGGGATGAATGTCTTGCCAGTGGGCATCGGGTGTAAAGGACAGTTCCACTTGATTGGATGTCGGATTGAGAGTGATCAAGAGACCGTAGGCAACGTCACCCTTGCTAATCGACATGCGACTGTCCAATGATAACCGACGGCAGACGGGCTGATTCTGCGCCTTGTTGCCGACAGTCGACGAGGAACTCAACAGACTCTGAGGCGGCTCGTCGCATTGTTGTGGCTGACGTTGTGGTTGTGGTTCGTCGTCTTGATGAAGTTCACTGGGATGCATGGTCACGAATTCGGGCATCGATGAATGCAGATCCAATAGAGACATGGACGGACTACTACTGTAGTACAACAATGGAAAGACACCGCTACTAGTAGGAAGGATGGAAAATGGGATTGGAGGATCGGATAGAATGCTGTCGGCGGTTGTTGAATCGTTGTGAGACTTTCGATCTTCTTGGTTTCAACTTGTTGTGTTGTTGTTGTTTCTCAGACACTGGTACCGGTGCTACCTTGCCTTGTCCCACAACCCTTCAACTCTTCTCGTTTGCCTTGTGTGCTTTGTTGATGCCCTCGTCCCGTATTTTGAGAAGGCTTCTTTGCGGAATCGAATCTTTAATCTGGAACATACGGAACTTATTTTGTCGCAATTTCCCTGACTCTTTTCCACGCGTTCCAGCCTCATGTTAGGTTTGGCCAACCAGAATCCTTTCCCGGCAAAACAATGGCACAGTCGTACCGGTGCCGGCGAAGTGGCCAGAATGCTTTTTCAAGCTGTCCGATGTCCAGCCACCATACATACCGGTACTAGCTAGTACCGATAGCTACCACCTCAGATTGGCGCAACTAACCTTGGGAGTTAACTCAAGTAGCACAGTCGTACCGTACAGTACGCAAGTAACCCAGCCCAGAGAATCAGTGAGGTCAAATCTCTCAAAAGTGCTATCAAGTTCTCCTTGCGACAGTAGGTGGGTACTTGCAACTACCGTATGAGCTAGCTAAGGCTTCAAACTTTGTTGGTGGAGCTGCAAAAGTTGACAATCTAACAAGTCCCACGAGGTCCACCGTGGGTCGTCCTAATGCTCAGTTGCAATTGGCAAGCCCCATAATCAATTCTACAGTTGCCATTGCTTGCTTCACTACACCACGCTGCAGCCATCTATACAACTAATTGCCTACTTTTTACAAACAGATCAGTCTCTGCTAAGGTACCTCGACAAATACAACGTCTCCGTCCGAGCAACGGGAGAGTGGCATGAACGGCGCCAGCAACGGAGTGGCGTCCTCCTCTATTCGAGTTCAAATACAAGAACGCCGTTGTCTTCTAAATTCTGGAGACTCTTGATCTCCGCAGTGGCTTTCGGTGCAATGGCCTTGATGTAGGCAGACTCCATGGGATCATTGTCACTCAGAGCAGAAACAATGACCAAGAAATCAATTAGCTCGTGCAGATCCACCTCGATGCCTCTGGCAAACTTGGTCAATGCATGCGCAAACTCTTCCTTGTCCAGCTTTTGATTTCCATCTTGGTCAAATGCCAGCATGGCCAGGGCGGCTCGCTGGACACTTTCGTCAATATCCATGGCACTCTGGTACTTGCGCATGCCCTTGAGCAGCTCTTCGTAGTCCAGCGCTCCATCGTTGTTTTCGTCCCACAGAGTAAAGAGTTTGTGCATCTTCCCGTACGACAAGGCGTCCATGACTTCAATAGCCTCTTGCGATGAATCTTGAAAGTCCTTGGCCATGCTGTACATTTCGTCCGCCACAAGCAGTTGTGCCATTTCCTGTTCGGTCATCACAGTCGGCTGACACATCAGAATGGTCAATCCATCGGCCACCTCGTCAAACCGCATGCCCCCGACCGCGCAAAAGTTGAGAATCAGTCGGGTAAAGGATTCAAAATCCAGTTCACGGCTGTCATCCTTTTCCACCATGATGAGTAGTTCGACTGCACTATTGGTCGAATCCTCAATGCTGCTGTTGGACAGTTTGAACAATCCGAGGGCAATCTCGGAAAACGAGACAGTGCCATCTCCGTCCATGTCAAACAACCGAAAGAGAGCCATCATGCGATCGTCGGTAGCTGCTCTGAAGAACTCGCTAGTTTCCTTGACCTGTTCATCAATTTCCTCCGCTGCCACTGCTCCTACTAGCTCTTCAATGGGATTGTTGCCTTCTGGTGAAAACAAGAGTTGGAGAATAAGGAACTCGGACAACTGGGAGATTCAGGGAAAAGCGATATGTGAGGGAGGCGTTGTCGTGCTGGGCGTGACATACAATGTCCATCGCATACCTGATGGAACGTCACTCCATTCTCGGCCAACATTGCATCGATCAACTTCTTGAACTGATAAAGTAGAATGCAGGAATGGACAAGAGTGAGTTGACTCGCGATCGATAGAGAGAATGATGAATCTACTTTTATCTCACCTCGTCCCGATTGAGCCTGGCATCGCCGTCTTCATCAAAAATGGCCACCATTTGAATGGCTCTATCCAATCCTTCGGCAAATGTCATGCCTTCGTGACGCTTTCGAATACCATCGGCCAATTCTCGGGCATTGATCGTTCCGCTCCTATCCTTGTCCAGCAAATCAAACAGCATATCCAGTTTTTCGTCGTCCGACATTTCGGCCAATCCATTGAGCAATTCGAGTTGTGCTTTCAATGCGAGAATTTGCAATTCGACATTGGCCTTGGTAATGGTGACGAAATCACTCATACTGCAGTCGGCCTTTTGTGCCTTTTTCTGTTGCGAGGATTGTGTCATGACGATACTGGCTCGTGCTTTTTCTTGGCCCAGGTGACGTTCCTTTTTAATGGCCGCCAAGTGCTTTTCCAAGGTGGGATCATTGGGGAACTTGGCTAGACCATCTTGTAGACATTGACTGGCATCATTGTAGCGATGCAACGCCAAGAGGGCGTTGGCCTTGCGGGTGTATCCTTTCAAGAATGAACCTTCCGAGAGCTTGAGACATTCATTGGCGTCGGCCAAAGCTTTGGCAGCGTCACCCGCTTTCAAATGGGCGGCAGCGCGATTGGAATAGTACACATGGTTCTTTTCGTCCATCGCAATGGCTTTGGAATACAGGTCAATCGCCTTGGCAAACTCTCCGGCAGAAAACGCTTCATTGCCCAATGTCTTGGTTTCTTGTGCGGATAGCTTCGGTCCATCATCGTCCACGGTCTCCACTACTGGCTTGGCTGCTTCTTCAGACATGGTGGATAGATAGATAGATAGATAGATAGATGGATAGACAAAGAGTATAACGCAAGCAAGGGCTACAACCAAAAGGAAGAACTAAGAAAGAAGGAATCCGAATTGATTCTGATACTGTACCTTCTGAAGAAGTGAGGGGTGATTGATGTCGTGGTGTCCGCTCGTGGCTTCGCAAGTTTTGCAACTTTGCGAGAAAGTCCAAAGATCCAAAAGATCCAGAGATAAGCCACCAAAGCTGAGAAGGTGGACGTCGAAATGCTTCCGTGTACTGGAGGCTTTAGTTAGGTGCTCGCACATTCTTGGACGTAGCACCACGAGATCATCCTGCATGCCGCCAGAGGACAAGCTATCTTTGAATCAAGTTTGTCAATGATATGGTGGGAATGGCACGGCACACTTATAATGCGCTCTATGAGACTCTGGGAAACATCAAAATTGAGAACGACGAAGCATCTGTGGAAAGGGATTTGAGTAGCTGGGCATTCCAAGTCTAAACCAATTGGAGTCGAGTCAGATGTTGGGTATCGTGTTGTACGGGTGGATGTAGGGCGTCTTGAAAACGAAGAGCATGAACTTCAGCCACGATGAAGCTCCGTAGATGCTTGAAACCATAATACCGGTACCACAAGAAGCAACACAAAGAAACAAGAATCAGTTGAATTCAGAGCAAGTACATGTATGTATTGTAAAGTTAACCCAGACTAAGCGTAGCTACCTTCTAGCTAGCTAGCTAGCTAGCATCAGATTGGCAGTGGAACAGATGATACCAGAATAGCAAGAACAGCTTTTGGGAGTTGGCATTGGTAATGAGCCACAAAAGAAGCCGCTTAGGTGCTCAGCCCATGCAATGCGTGTAATAGCAGCTCAGCTGGGACGTGACTGCGTCAGCCGAACAGCTCCCGCCATCTGTTCTTGAAGATACTTGGCCTGCATCACAGCGAAGAATATCGCCAAGCACGCGGACACGCTCATTGAACCTTGCAGATACCCAACAGCAACAAGTCGACTCGAGATTCGATTGATTCGATTCGATTCGCCCAGATTCGTCACTCAAGTTCAATAGCTGGCTGACGACTGTTGTGAGTGTGAGAACAAGCAAGGATATCAGTGCGTATCCTCGGAAAAGAAAACATCACTGAGCCATCGCCATCAACAGATGATGGAATATTCTCAAGCTGCCTCTTTTGTTCTTTTAGCGCAACGGTAACAACTCTGTGTCCACTACGTTAGTCAGTTCAGTCAGGTCAGCACACACTGACTCTGGTAGCGAAAAAGTTTTTCGCACAATAGAGGACACCGCTGTCGAATGGCGTGGAGGTAACACTGGTTAAGAGTGAGTGAGTTAGTCAGCACAAGCACCACTCTATAAGTTGACACGAGTGGTGGCGCGGCAATCCACTCCATTAGCTTCGCAAAGAATCGATATACCCGTTGATTCATTCTTTGCGTCTAGCTAGCTAGCCTCTCAAACGATTCGATATTCCTATCTATTAGTGAGATACCCACAGTACTATTTAGTAATGCACTCCCCAGTTACCCACACGACCCTGAGACTCCAAGGCAGAGCAGGGGATCATTGCTGCTGTACTAGTAGTTCTACCGGTACAACAGAAGAAGAGGAAAGCAGCTTAATAGAACGACAATCTCGGATACGAAAGTCCCACAACTCATTACGACAACCAAAGAACAAGGGGATGCTACTTCCATCACTCATGGTACTCATCATGCTAGTCGTATGGCGAGTACCCGCATTCTCCCTTCCACGAAACACGGCGAGAACTTCTTCTAGCCTAGCAGCCATCAATTCACGAGAACTACGCTTTCACAGTGGTGGCACGAGGAATGGGAGCACCCCCGCTGGGGATGGCGCTCATCATCAACAATCACCCTATTTCACGGCGTCCATGCCCGAGGTACTGGCAGCTTCCATGTCCAACTACTTCTTTTCCAAGGCAGTGGGTACCACCAGCCAGTTGCTCGCTGTAGCTGCTGTGGATGAGGAGCAACGCCTGTCTACTACTACACGGCGATCCAAGGTTTCTTCTACCGGTGCTGCTGCTGTGGCAGAGGTGGCTCCAGTCGTTGCACAACGCCAAGTGTTGGTGACGCATCATCAGACTACGACGGTACGAGCCAGGAGTACCAAGAGTAGTGGAGGCAGCACGGGTGGTGGGGATGATGACGACGACGACGACGATAATGGTCAACAACAACAACAACAATGGAACACGTTCTTGAATCGTCTCAATCAGCACATGAGCGATGGCGCCGTGGCACAGGATGACAATACCAGTCTTTTGCATGAAAACATTTACCGTCAACCCGCGGGCGCGTTTAGCAATGGCAACAACGGCAGAGAACACCCACCACCTCGACAAGGATATGGCTACTCGATTCAATTGACAGAGGATGAAAAGGCACTCTTTCAGCTGCTACGAAAGGTTCATGCCGAAACGGGGTTGACCACCACACTGAGAGTCGCCGGGGGATGGGTGCGGGACAAGCTCTTGGCAACACCCGAATTTCAAATCTTTCATCGATTCCATACTCATAACAACTGTCAAAATGACGACAACAACCCATACAACCGTCTCACGAGCAAGTTCAAGCAACACTCTACTGGTTACAGAACCCCCTTGGGACAGGCATCCATGGGAAGACAAGGGACCAAGGTCGTGGCGTCGACATCGTCGTCAATCAATACACTGGGACTAGTCAGTGACGCACAGAATGGTCCCGTCGACATTGATATTGCTCTCGATACCATGCTCGGTAGGGAGTTTGCCGATCACCTCAATGAGTACCTGCAAGATCAGGGAGAAGAAACTATTGGAGTCGGCGTTGTCCTCAAGAATCCAGAAAAGTCCAAGCATCTCGAGACGGCAACCATGAAGGTTGGGACCTTTTGGATTGATTTTGTCAATCTCAGAGCCGAAGAGTACGCGGAAGATTCACGAATTCCAGATCTCATGCGAATTGGGACCGCCAAGGAAGATGCCTTTCGTCGCGATCTCACCATCAACTCGTTGTTCTTCAACATCAACACGGGTGAAGTGGAAGATTGGACAGGCCGAGGCTTTGCCGATCTCCGAAAAGGGATCGTGGCAACGCCCCTGGCGCCATTGACCACCCTTTTGGATGATCCTCTCCGTGTCTTGCGAAGCGTTCGATTTGCCGCACGCCTGCGATTCAGCATGGGCGAGGAATTGGTGGCCGCTGCCAAGGACGATCGTGTGCGAATGGCACTGGCGCAAAAGGTCTCTCGAGAACGTGTCGGTGGAGAACTCGATCTCATGTTGCGATCGCCAGATCCTGTGGGGGCGATGCGATTGCTCCGGAATCTGAATTTGATCGACACGGTCTTCCCCGCCGCCTCCTGTTGGCCTGGTCAAGTCACACGAGAAACCTTAATTCCTCTGTTTGATCAGTGTCTCAACCTGTTGTCCACGACACATGATCATCTCTATGATTGCAAAGTGACACCGCCCATTTGGTGTCAATCCAAGAAGCTCTTGACGACGAACAATGTTGCTGAAATGACCTTGACCACTGATGAAGAAGCCCGTCGATTGCTGTGGTACGCTTCCTTTTTGAAGCCCATTCATGACCGTGCCGAGGCTCTCAAGCAGCTACAGATGCAGGCACTACAAGCCAAGTCACCAGGCAAACGTGCCGGGAAGAAGGCCAACCGAAGCATTATGAGCAAGTTGCTGGTGGACGAGCTCAAGCGCCCTGGCCGTGATGCCGATTCTGTGGAAAAGATCATGTCTGCTGCCAATGATATCACCAAGCTGATTCAAAGTGGATCCGATGTCAGTGCCACTTTGATACTGCTCAGTGATGTCAGAGTGAGAGAGAACAGCAGCACCGGATCACTAATGTCCTCCATGCGTGGTCATCGCATTGATTCAGTGCTGGAAGATGATCCAGTTTGGTCTCATGCCATGGAATTTCGTTTGATGTGCTCTCGGGTGTTGCAAAGAGTCGGACCCTTGTGGCGCGCCGCTCTGTTCCTGTCCTTGTCGGAGCAATTGGCATCCTTGAACGATGGAGATCATGACTACGTTATCGAGGGCGATGTGGTAAGGAAGTCGTGAACTTAGGTCTTTGCTGTGCTGGTTTTCGTTGCCATGAAACGATTTCTAATGCTGATCTCTCTTTAACCACTCTATCTTCGCGTGCAGCTGGATGAAAGCAAAGAAGAACGACGACAGGGCATCATTGAGCAATATGACGTATTCGCTGCTGCTCTACAGCAGATTGGACTTATTGGTATCTGGGGCGCCAAGCCCTTGATTGATGGACAAGAAATGAAGGACGTTTTGCCATATATTCCCCGTGGACCCGCCTTTCGTGATGTCATGGACGAACAAGAGCGATGGATAGTGACACACCCGGGTGCCAGCAAGGAACCCCTGGCGCAGCATCTGGCCGCTGCATTTCCAGAGTTCACAATACCACCAAAGGATGGCTCATCCAGCAAGAAGCAAAAGAAGAAGAAACCCAAAAAGGAGGTGGAAGCAAAACCAGAGACTGGCAATGAAAAAGCATGAAAACAGACGAACCCTCTAGTCGTCCACACCGCTCCTCTCCTCTTTCCTGGCTAGTTCAGGCACTGCTACAAATACATTTTAGATTCCTGTAAACTCACTCTTTGCTGAATCCTGTAAACTAAACAATCATGCATAATGTCCATACCTTCGAAGTACATTTAGTTTGGCGTACATTTCATGTGCCATGAGATGCATCTCATGTGCCATGAGATGCAACGCAGAATTTCGCCACCGGGGTGCGTGCAATGGGGTTGGCAAAGCACCAATTGCCGATTACTGCTAGCTATTATGGGAGAGGTGCGGAGTTTTTGCTTGGCACGGACCATTGCCCCCCCCCCTCAGAGGTGCACAATCCTTCCGCCACCCAAGAGTGTACGGCCACCCACATCCCCCTAGAGGTGCAAATCTTCGCCACCAAGGTGTGCCCCTTGAGGTGCAGATTCCTTGCCACCAAGATGTGCCCCTAGCTAGAGGTGCAGATCTTTGCCCTTGAGGTGTGTGCCTAGCTAGAGGTGCAGATCTTTGCCGAGGTGCACCCCCTAGAGGTGACTTTTTTTGCCGCAGATGTACCGGTATGATGAATCGCATATTACTATTTACATTTGCAGCTATGGGCACCGGTACTCCTGCCTGTTGGAGTACTAATGGCAGTGATTTGGTAAGGCCACTAAACACATCTCTCTTTAGAGCTCTTAGTAGTAGATTGTCTGCTAGCTAGGACAAATGGATCCATCTGTCTTCCATGGCAACATATGCTGGCTCAGTTTCGGCTCTGCAACGTCTTGGGTGAAAAATCCTGGGTGCAACGTCTTGGGTGCTACATGAACAATACCAATACAGACCTGGTACCTGAATCAACGCCATCAATTCATTTTTTGCCAACTTCCTGGACACTCCACTCCAAGGCCAAACCTTCTCTACAATGGACCCATCCCCAGTCCAACAGTCCCACTCCATGCCCCACCCTTGGACCAATGCCATATCCATCTCCCAAGGTCAACACAGAAGTTTGGCTAGCTGGCTCCATGCTGTTTTAGCGGAGTTGGTTTTCCATAGGGACAACCTCTTTTGAGGTCGGTTGGAGGTCGATTTATCGTGATTCAACGAGTCGTAATCGAAACCACAACTGAGGAACAACATGGGGTTTCAAATAAAAGGCGATCCCCAAGACAGACACGTGTGACTGGGAATCATGCGAGCGAGCCGTATAAGAAGAATCGATGCACTCCTCAGAGGCAGTAAAACAATGACAATGACACGAAAGATCCACATCGAACTACGAAACAATGACAAAACAATGCTATGCTCATTTTGCAATGGCGTCTAAACTGTTCGAAAGCGTCGACTGGAAGATCGAAAATCTAAGATCAGCGTCATGCCAATCTAAATATAACAGTGCAAGAAATATAACGCAAGATTTCTTGGATGGTTTTCAGTCGAGGTACGACCTTCGACCTGCAAAGTTTGAAGATCTCCGGTCGTCGGGGGGTCTACCCGACGATAGTGATGTTGTGGACATCCGAAAATGGTGGTTGGGTTTCTGGAGCGAGTTAGTAGATTATTGGGTTTCTCGTAAGAAAACTGATGGGACGTTCTACTCACCAGCAACGGCAGAGCGTTACTTTACAACAGCCAAGTGTAGTCTACAACAAAGATTAGTTTCACATCATACGGTGTTTGAAGCTTACAAGGCTGCGTTGTCGAATCTACGAAAAAAATTGACAACAAGAGACGCCCACGTGAAGAAAACGAAAAAACGTTGTAACTACACGATGGACGAAGTTTTATGGATCAGTCGAAGATGTTTATGGTTAAACCAACCGGAGAGCGTACAACTGTACATCCTTTTGATCATGACGATACATTTGAATAGTCGTGTCTCGGAAACGTCACTGATGTTGTTAAGTGATTTTGAGTTGAAGCAGCACTACAGCGGAAAAACGTACTCGACGTTGTTGTGTTTCCTTGATCGACAGAAAGGAAGCGGTAAAGGCCAATGGCCTGTTGTACCCGGTACACGAAATGTGCTTTTGGACCCGGTTGTTGCTATTGGAATTGCTATGTTGATACTACCAGCCGGGGCGAAGACAATTGCACCGATGTTTTCAAAGTTGACAGGAGTTAAGAAATCTGGAGCAGCAGATCTATACGAGAAAACTCTGAAAACTGTTTCGACTGTGTTCCCACCGAAACCATTCGAAACAACAAAGCTGGGAACATCCCATTTCGGTAAACAAACTGGGCAGTATCTTCTTGATAGTAAATCAATGAAGCTGGAAGCGAATTTATTCGCGGGTCACGCTCCACGAGTGACAACAGAAAGTACTATTGTCAATATCACGAATCTTATCTTCTGAATGGCGCGACTTGGATGTCTGGATGGAAGGACACAAACGGGGTCTTCCCTGAAGTGAAAATCCCTACGTTTGAAGATATGGATTGTGTTACTCTCGGCAACAAAATCAGTTCGGCGTTATTCCATGGTGATGTTGATATCAGCGTCAAACAATATGTTTGTGTGTGTCTTCTCAGACGTTGGGATGAATTGATCTGTGAATGTGCCGACCATGGGTATGGCAGCATTCTACTCAAAAGCTTGGAGGATCGATTCCGGGTGGGACTGGACCGAAATGAATTCGACAGACTGAAACAGCTATGTCGCGGAGAGCGTCAGTGTGATACGGTAAAGACTCCCGTTGCAAGAGATGTTGCGATTAGACCACAACAGGAGCTCTTCGGGACGCGTGTTGATGCGCGTGTCTTTTTGTCGTTGGTTCAACCACGGGACGACCTGTAGTGGTCTTCAGTAAGTTCATGGAACATTGGGATCAGATCGTATCTATCGACCCTGTTCTAAATTGGACTACAAGGAGATAAGACAATTGCGAAAGCTAAAACAAGTGGTACGTGTGTCTTCCGGTTTCTTAAATCCTTCCCCAAAACAGAACGTTCGACAGAGATCGACTTCTACGAGATCTTAAATGTGGGTTGGCCCGCAAGAATGAAATGCGGTTCAATCGAAGAGTCGTTTCTAAAATGAATGTTTTTTTGTGATGAACAAAAATGAATTTCCTCTTCCTGAGGACCTACCGGTTGATTTGCGACGGTATTTATTCAAAAACACACATTATTATAATTGTTAAGTTTAAATTCGACGTACATTGTCCATAGTCATTTTCATTTTCTTATTGGAACATGTCGTGTTTGTTTTCTTACTAGAAGACTTACTAGACGACTTAGAACAGCTAGATGTATGATTCTTGGATTTGGACTTGGACTTACACGTCAAGTTCACTGGGTTCCATTGTGTTATTAGTCGTTGACGAATAGGTATATGGTGCTGTGCTGTTACGGAGTGAAGCAGTAACATCAGTACCAATGAAATGAAGCTTTTCATCTTGTTTTTTCTCTATTCGTATTTGATTTAAATGGACCCAAGCAGTAACCAGAGCGTCGCTAAAAGCAATAATGGGGGTAATGATGGTGAGCGCTACAAGCAACGAGTTTTCACTTGACATTTTTATGACGTTATTCTTAATTAAAGTTTTGGCGGGTATTGTTGACACACGTTTCAGATTTTGCGGAACTTCAATTTGCGCGTGGAGGTTTCATCGAGATCAGGTAA